TCACCTTTTATTTACAAACCATGAGAATATCCAATTTGAGGAAATCAACTCCTAACCCAAAAAGTGATTTGGCTTAAAGAATTAGAATGCCATATAAGCATAATTTTTAAGGAAGTATTCAAATTTGGCATTTTTGCGAAGATGTTGAGATCGCTAAAGGTAATAATCACAGACAGTTTATTCCTCATTAGAGGATGAATTTGTCTTTTTTATGATAAAATCGTGAATATTACTTTTTGCTTAACGTAGAACCTATGACGTATGACATCATGTCTAGTATATAAGTTGAGTATTTTTAGTCTAGATCCATTATGACGTCATAATTAATTCAGGATTACTTTTTCCCATACTTTACGGCTTTAATTTATAAAGTTATGTAGAACATAATGCATTTTCTTGAAATTCAATTTCAAATCATGTCAAAAGTAATCCGATACTTTTATATTCAATTGAATTTCATTGTAAATAAAAGGTCAAACATATATAAATTACAGTTTGCAATCTGGATAGTTTTCTTTTGTCAGTTATGGAAAATACTCCCATATTTAAATCTTATTCTTTCATTAACTCAAAAAAATGACAGTTTGAAATAGATATTTGCCCGAAAATTAAGTCCTTATACGCCTTATTTTAATAATGTATAGTTATTAAACTTCATTAAAGGAATTTATTCCTCAAGTTAGAGAAACCTGTAGGCACCTTTCATTTACTAGATCATATATTAAGTTGACAAATCCAAGACGTCTCGTGTAATGAAATTACACAACTTACTGTGATAATTGTGCGTGGCATACAACTATTTTGAAGGAATGAAAAGTTTAACAAGAAATCCTTGACAACTAAATAGACTACAATATCTTTTTTTCATTTATTTATTTAAATATCATTCAATACACCAATACATTGTTTAAAATAGTTTTTTACATCATACATAGTTTTAAATTTAGAAAAATTCCAAACTGTAAAAATCTTATACATAATAAGCGTAGACGCAAACATCTGTAAACATCTTGTACATAATAAACAGTAAATCTATTGAAAATCATGTAATTTTTTTATATATATATTTGATTTAAAAACCCAAAATGAAAACAAACAACGACAGAAAAAAAAATCAAATCTTAGGACAATATCTTGATGAAATATATCTGAGTCAAAGATCTGTGAAAGATTTTATATATCCTGTCCTAAATGAAGTTTATTATATTTTCATCATTATTTGCTAATTATTCATGTTCATTTTGAATGGTTGGTGTATGTTTCCCTAAAATATTATCTTTTTAGATAAAAATTTACATATTTATAGATTTTCACATTGTAAATCTGAACATAACCCCAACCAGTCATTTAGTGATTAAATCCTGTGTAAGGGCAAAAAGGTCAACAAAAGAAACATTGATAAATAATCTCCCCTTAGTACTAGGGGTACGAAAGCCCAGAAGGCTCATTCGAGATTCAAGTTTCGAAATACGAGATTCAAAATTCGAGATTCGAAATTCTTTGATTTCGAAATTCAAGATCCAGATTAACCAATCAAAAGGCTCATTCGAGATTCGAGGTTCGAAATACGAGATTCGAAATTCGAATTTCAAGATTCAAAATCCAGATTAACCAATCAAATGCAGGTTCAACATTTGATTACTCCCCTTTATTTTTATGTTTTATCTATCAATAAATCGTTTAATATATTTATAACAAATGAGTCATTTGATTAAATTACAATGCAAGAAAGAGTGTCAGATATATATATTAGAAGGAAAGTTAAATAATCATTTGGTTTTTGATCAGCAAGATATACTTCAATTTATATTATGACTTCTTAAATATTAAATAAAATACAAATATCAGGAATATATATATATTTGCATTGTCTACATTATATAAAGGGTTGCTGACATAATAATACAGTTATAAATAGTGTCTAAAGATTAACAAAATCCCCACCCCTACCCTCAACACCTGCCAATTTTTCCCGACACTGAAATAATGCCTGATAAGGTCCTTTAATCTAGCTGTTTGGCTCTTTGTTGACTTGGCTTTTAAGTGATTTTTATTTATCAAGGCTACATTGCCTTTCAAGTTTTTAAAGTAACATTTTCAGTTTCGGGAAAAGTTGGCAGGTGTTGAGGGTAGGGGTGGGGATTTTGTTAATCTTTAGACACCATTTATAACTGTATTATTATGTCAGCAACCCTTTATATAAAGTAGACAATGCAAAAATATATATATTCCTGATATATGTATTCTATTTAATATTTCAGAAGTCATAATATAAATGGAAGTATATCTTGCTGATCAAAAATCCAATGATTATTTAACTTTCCTTCTAATATATATGACACTCTTTCTTGCATTGTAATTTAATCAAATGACTCATTTGTTATAAATATATTAAACGATTTATTGATAGATAAAACATAATAAAGGGGAGTAATCAAATGTTGAACCTGCATTTGATTGGTTAATCTGGATTTTGAATCTCGAAACTCGAATTTCATAAAATCTCGTATTATCATAGAACCTCGAATCTCGAATGAGCCTTTTAATTGGTTAATCTGGATCTTGAATCTCGAAACTCGAATTTCGAATCTCGAATTTTGAATCTCGTATTTCGAAACTTGAATCTCGAATGAGCCTTCTGGGCTTTCGTATAGGGGTGATCAAAAAGTTCGCGAACTATCTCTATATCTACAAAACCACAATTCAGGTTAGAATGAAATTCGGTACACACATAGCCATACACAAGGTCTATAAATAGCATATGCTGAATAAAGTTTTTCTCCTTGTTTGTGACGTCACAATGTGAAAGTGACGTCACTATTTAGGTGAAAAATGGTTGTCTCAGTCGAACTCGTTCAACAAACGACTGTACAATTTATTGTATATCTTAGAAATCCCTCTGCAGTATCATATAATAATTTGTACACAGTTTATTAAGATAAATGAGTTCCTATAAATTCAATTAATGATTGGATTGATCGTTTTAGTGAAGGAAGGCAGATGGTTAAAAATGATACTTGTCATCTTGCCCAGTGAAAGCAAGTTTGAAAAGATATGTGTTTTTAATTAAGCAATTTGCTATCAAATACCTCCAATTTACACTTTGAAAAATAGTTGAATATTTGAACAATAATATAATTATTAAATACCTAAGATATCGTTTACTTTAGATTTTAAACATATTAGATATGATAAAAAGGAGGTACCCATTCTCTATCCACCTTGAATAAAGGTCTCTCCCGAGACAGAAGATTTGTGTTTTAATGGTCGTCATGCATATTTTTGTAAAGGATATTCTTTTCCACCCATTCTGTTGCCGAGATTTGACCATTTCTGGCAAATGAACTGTTCTTGTCATAAAAATTAACTCACATGGAAAGAAATATAAAACTCAGAAAAATCTTTCAACTTTTGTGACAGAACGCTACGGAGGGGGTCGCGTGACCGCCAATATCACGTGATTCGCGCATGCGCAGAAAGGTGGTTGATGTGCATTAAATTTGGAGAGAATTAATTTAAAATATAATCAACATTGAAACCAAATATTATTTCTTTTATGAAAGTTATTCAATTAGTTCGCAAACTTTTTGATCACCCCTCGTTTATATCTAAATCTCTTTTTGTAATCTTTTGGGGATGTTCTTCATCATTTCTAAGATTGAAAATATTCTGACAAAGACTTTTGAAATATATTTTCAAATTTGGGGGGGGGGGGGTTACATTGACTAAAAAATATTGAGTGCATTTGCCTACATTCGTTAAAAGATGGACTTAATCTTTTATTTCAGTTGAATAAGAAAAAGAAATGCTTCTTGAATTTTATTCCTTAATACTGTTTAGTTTATAAAATTTTTAATCCACGATGTTTGAAGTATTTTGAGTTTTTCTATATTGTCTTTATGACCAGTATCCTAAAAATGACCAAAATATGAAGTCACAGTGGATTCCAAGTTGCACAGGCTGCACAACATATATAACAACGAAACATACCTAATTCTTTTTACTGATTAAAAGCAAGTGCTTAATTATCATTCCGAAAAGTATGAAAATCCTGAGACTTTTCCGACATAGGTTCTACCTTGAATTAAGGACAACTTGCTAAATTTGCGGGTCGCTAAAAATTCCATGTACGGTAACTTTCATAAAATTTTTAAAGAAGTCGTATTTATTTTTAAAAATTCTCATTTTACACTGCATAACATTTCACACATTAATTGGAAAAAATTGATTTTGATAATTATTTATTTTGGAACATCTTGACTGTTTAAATTTTAAAAGGCTTCCAAACATTTATGTATTGTGACTCTACATCCGAAGATTTAAACGAAATTTTTTTTTTTAATTATATCAAATTATTGTGAACGGGAAGCCTTAAGCAAGTTATGTCAATTCAGTAAATTGACAATTTATTTAACTATATTTAGAAAAGAAAATTATAATATAATTATTATGTATTTCCTGTAAAACTGACTACTTAATAAACAGAAATAATCGGCAATATTTCTTTTTTTCCGCAAGAATGCTTAATTTATTTTCTTATTATCATTTTTAGATGAAGAAATTTCGAGTAAGATTTCTAAGAATAAAAAGATTTTTAATGAAAACTTCCAGGTAGTACAACTGGTATGATACATATTAAATACCCCCTTTCAAATATCATTTCTCTTTCTATGGAAAGATATTATATCAAAATAAATTGAGATTTGATTAAAAGAATTAAATCGACTTTTTCATGGACAGATCTAGAGAACAAAAAGATCCGTAAATAAATATCTCGTCCAGCATCATCATTGCTTCGGACTAAAACATAAAAACAATATGCCGTTAGGTAAGAGTAGAAAATATAATGCATATATGATTACTATACTTACAAAATTGGATACGCAACGTCTCAATTTAATTTTCTAAAAACCAGGAGGTGTTTATTTTGAATAATGTCATTTTTCAATCGATATAAAAGGAGGCACGGTGTTGGCGATTTAGTGACGTGAGAAGTTTATAAGAGACGTGCCGTGTCTTTGATATCTTACATGAGTCTAGACCAGGGATGTGTATAAGTATGTGGACACTCAGCTTCTGTGTTATTGTCGTATTTGGCTTCCAGCGACAGGTGCGCTCAGAGACAATCATTAGATATCAGGTAATTGTCTTATCATTCAAAGATATTATCTCTGCATTTATAAAAGAACAAAATATGATTTGCTAGTATTTTTTGAATATCAGTTTTTACTGAAAGATCATATTGGTGTAGTAAAAAAAGAATATAAAGAAATTATATTGCAATTACAATTAACGATAAAGCGATATCATTAGATACATAAAAAGTGTTATATTTACATATAGTGAAAATAAAAAATGCCGGAGGATTTTAATTTAAAATAACTTAACTACCTAGGTGAAAAAAAATAAATCCTTATTTTTTTTTTTAAGAATTAGCCCAGAACATGATTTTGAATGAAATGTGAACTTTGTTATTAACAAAATCGTGAATACTATTTCAAAATTGAATACTAAAAAAAATGGTCCTTTTTTATTTTTATTTTTTTTATTTTTTTTTTTCATATAAACATGCATGTGCATGTTCTTGTGTAATGTTTCAATGATCTGTGCCCTTATCCTATATTTAAAAAGAAGATGAATAATCTAAATATTAATAATATCTAAAATATGTAAACAATGATAATAAATGGCTCACTAGTGTTTGTGTCTATTATCGATAATTGCATGAAATCCCTACCTCCTTTGAAAAAAATAAATAGACATAACAAACAGTATTCAAGCTCAAAAGTTTATTTAAACAATGCAAAATAAGAGCAGAGCAAACACGGACCTCCAAAATATCATAGGTGGGAGCAGGTGCCATGGAGGAGTGAGCATCCCCTGCCGACCGGTTACACCCGCCGAGTGCTCCTTGTCATGATCGGGAAACAACGGAAAAATCCGTCGTCAATTCAGTGTGTAAATAATGGCCTAACAATTAGTATGAAAAACGTCGGTCAGCATTTGACTCAATGATAAATTGTATTTGAAGACAGGGCCATTGTATCGACCATAGAACTTATGAAATGATCATTATAAATGACACTGCTGATATCCTTGTTTCATTAACTTGTTTGTCAATAATTTACCTCGTTTTAGAAAATGTACATACGTAGAGCATGCTCTTGTGTATCGAATCAAGGTCTGTCTTCTTTCAGAAGTATGTGTGTTATTTCTATAGAAATTGAATAAGTGCAAAAAATACGAAAAATGCAAAGAACAAAAATCAATTGATTAATTATATTTTTTAAGGTAACGCAATTCAATAACAGAAACATTTGGTTGACCAGTGGCATTGTATTTTTTCGAGAACAATTAATGTACCCTTACTTTGTAAACCATAAGTCAGGAAGTAATATGCATAAGGAAATCACTCCAGGACTGAAATGACACAAGAAGTTATACAAGTCATTCAAAAAATCAATTTCCAGAAGTTCATTGCTATTTTGGATTTTCTTCAATGCCATTCTTTTGACCTTGTCTTCAAATAATGCTGATGGCTCTTTTTATTTTGCTTCATGGATTGCACTACCCATTGAATAATGCTAGTATTCAATAAATGTTGACATAAAAGTCATACTTTCTGCAAATAATTTCTTCCCAACGGCCATGGAATTAGTCTGCCATGTATATTATAAATATTTTAAATCCGTTATATGTGCTTCACGGTTACTTTTTTTTTGGTTTTGGCGTCTGAGTTAATAGTGCTTTCAGTTGTTAATACAACCCAGGGCTTAAGTATAAGACTTGATAAATGAATTGGATTATACTAATGATTGATAGAAAATTATAGATCCCAATATACTCCCACTTTTCTATGTTAGTTCCTTTGTTAATTAGTGTTTCTGACCTTTTTGTAATTGTTATTTTACCACTAATTTTTCCAGACTTTTGTTCACCTTTATCTGTCTCTGTTGATCAAGAGCGTATTCTACTATGTTTGCCAAGCGATGTATACTAGATAACTATAAGTTATACAATTGTTTATCAAGTTGAGTTCCATTGATTTACTTTTTGAGTATTTCTTTCCTTTATGTGTTTAATAAACACCGAAATTTAAAACTAAAAGAGAGTAACTGCCAAATATAGTAGCAAGATTTTTAATCTCGATGGGCAAATGGGTATATAAACTCTTTTCCTGCTTACAGTACTCTTCAAAAAATATATTACTAAGCATTTTCAGCTTTAGACATGTTAGATGCTTTCAAGTTATCCGATTGAAAATGAGACCTGGAAACATTTTAATGGGGTTGGAGGATTATTGAAAAAATGTTGTTTAATACCGTTTTTATTTCATTTGCAAAAATACATATTATTTTTTAATTTTCTGTTTTTTAATAAAATTTAAATGTTATTGCTTAATTGTGAATTTGACCTGTCTTTCTTTTACTGAAAACGGTGCTAGTAATTTTTTGAAGTAGTTTGACGGTGCTATGAAATTTTGATGAATATTCAAAAATTTGAAATTTCAACGGCATAAACTAATACTTACAAAACTAGCAAAAATTAAAATGAATGGTGAATTCATTTTGTGATCATTTGAAGACATTTTAAAATTTGTCAACTATCAATAGAAATTAAAACAAGAATCTCTTTTAAACAAAACACCATGCATATTTAGTGGAGAACAGTTTTAGTATAAGTAAAAAGAAAGATGGAAATTGATTCTTTGAATTGTTTATAAAATGACTAAAATGGTACCAAAAAAAACCCTAGAAATAAGTACATATATACAGCGTAAATATAAACCATAAAGAACTACAAAGCTTTTGTACGAATCTTTTGCCATACAATGCAATCAATTACAACTGACACTGCAAATGCGTGTACAAAAGTTGGTGGACATTGGTTTTTCTGCAAGATATTCTGAATGCTTATGCTTGTAAATGTATAAAAGACCATAAATGAAGACATTGTCAAGTTAATGAGTTAACAATATTTTATTTTAAAGCTCTCTAATCTGCTTCTAGAGGAGAATTCAAGTGTAATGTAAATTATACGACACATTCAACAGTCTATGTACTGTTATAAATATATTGTTACAAAAAAGCAAAATGTTGAAGAAATTAATCATCCATCCTTACTGATAATTTTTAAAAAATCATAAAAAAAATCATTAAAAAATTCGAAAACGTCAGTGGTTCATTCAAAGCATTGCTTTGAAAAAAAAATAGCCTGATTTTTTTAATATGTTATGAGCAAATACAGTTAGGGAAAATCAGTGAACAAATCGAAGATATACTCCAGTAACAACAAACAAAGACATGGCCATAGACGTTAGGGTCCAGTTATCAGCTAAATTGTATGACAAACGACATGACTTCAGTTTTTCATCGTCAACTTCCCTTATTTATGTAGTAATAGTCCACTATCACCTGCTAATAGTGTTTATGTCTTCCATTTTATTCGCTACTCAGAGCTGTAAGTTCAATTTTTTGAATCGAGTTAGTCTTCTCGCGGACAGGTTGAAGTTACAGGGATTTCAACAGTCTGGTTTAAAGTAAACATTTTGTCAAATTTCTGGTCCTTATGATGATCTTGTTAGCAACTATAACCTATCATTGACTCGCATTTTAGCTTACTTGTTTCCTACTAATTGTAAGGCTTTTGTTTTTACACTGCATTGACTACGAATAATTCCGCTTACCTAATCAATACACAAGGTTTGACCGGTCAACAGGGGATGCTTACTCCTTATATAGGCACCTGATCCCACTTCTGGAATTTCCTGGAATTCGTGTTTTATGCTCTATTCACATATCTATATTGATTGTGGAATTTATTAGATTGATCGCTCTTAGTAACCTTTACCTTTTACATTGAAGGAACAAATTTCAATGAGACAATAGATGAAATTTGTTCAACAAAATAAACAAAATTGTGATTTTAAAAAAATGTAGTGAAATTTTCGAGAGAAACACAAACAATTGTGAAAAACAAGCAATGTATAGACAGAATTTTCAGAAAGCATGTTTATTATGTTTTGGAATTATACATAGGTCTTTTGAAGGGGAAAAAGTGCTGTAACTTCAAAAAAGAATATTAATAAACATATATTTCACAATAAAGTGAAGGGAGGAGAAATATTAAAATGGACATAAATTAATATCTCTCTTGACATATTTCATATTTCGTATTAATTTCTACATGATTCATTTAATAACAAACTGAAATTAACATATAAATATCTTTTGAAGTGTTTAAGACTGCTATTGAATTTCTCAATGGATAATTAAGTAAACTTTGCTGAAGTTAACTTAATAAATCAAAACGAAATACTTCATAAAATAAAATAAAATATGGAAATAATGAATAATAATCAATCTCAAAAGTCCATTGAAAACAATACATATTAGGAGCAGAGCAAACACGGACCTCTGAAACCATCAGAAGCGGGATCAGGTGCCATAGAGGAGTATGCATCCCCTGTCAGACCCGTAGTGTGCTCCTTGCCATGATCTGGCAAACAATCCATGTAAAATCCATGGTATAAATATTCATCTAACATGTATCATATCAATGAAATTTATTTCGTCAGTTGAAATGTCAATAAACGTCTTATCCTTAATAACTTTCAACAACACATTTTACAGAAGTTCATAGAACATTACAGACATGTAATTTGACACATTCCTCATGAAAATACCGTATTTTTGATTGCGAAAATTTTGATTTCTTTTGAAACATTACCTGCTTGGGTTGCGATTTCCAAATGCTGAATTTTAATAATCAGCTCTAGCGTGAAATTCCATCCCAGAGAGAGAGAGAGAGAGAGAGAGAGAGAGAGCAAAAAATTTAATATTCGTACAATGCAACACAGATATTTTGTAATTTTATTGCATGATATTGTTTAGAATTTCAGTGTTGAAGTGAGTATTTCTATTTTCAAACATTCTAATGATTTAGCAGGAACAATTAGAATCAGCTGTATGCGAAGAGAATGCTGTCTGTACAGAGCTTATGGAACTGCCAAGAGACAACTATTTCAGCTTAATGAGCTGCTCGTGTCCGAATGGTTACACATGTCCGAACAGGCCAGGAGATTCCACTCTACCATTTGGAAGGGGTCGATGGTGAGAAACTGAAAAAACAACATTCATAGCTTGTAATATCAAGAGATATAAATTGTACTTTTGAATCAACATTGTTTGTGGCGCGCCCATGTTCGTGAATTTGAAGGTCACCTTTATCCACTATTTTACATCCCCACAAATATTTTTTGTCAACATATTTTATACATTGAATCTTCTGGGTATATGATTGATTGATTGTATATTGTTTAACGTCCCTCACGAGAATTTTTTACTCATATGGAGACGCCACCACTTGCCGGTGGAGAGCTGCAAATTTTGTCCTATACTCAGCACTCAGGGCCATTGAGCATGGGATCTTTTTCGTGCCAGTACCTTCTGCAACACGGGACGTCGGTTTATACGATCTCATCCGAAGAACCGGTCTCCACGTCCCAGAGTGGGATTCGAACCCGCGACGTAAGGATCAACTCCTTACTTCGCGACTCTAGAGGAGACGCTTTAACCACTGTGCCATGTGGGCGACTTTCTGGGTATATGAGTTATTCGCGAAATTACGTCCCCACGAACACTCGAAAATTTTGCTTACCCGCGAATATTGGCCCCCACAAATTAAAATGATTCCACGGTATGTTGACTTCTGGATTGCTTTGCTGGAAATATGTAGGATAATGTTTTGTTTCACGAATACCGTAAATCATTTTTAATTCGCAAGAACTTTATTTTCGCCTTATAACGCGACAGAAAGTGGCCTTGCAAAAAATATCATTCTCGAGTATATTCGTATTAATTAAGTCAAGATTCGTGATTATTTTTTGATTGAACTAGATTTTTCAGCAGTTAAATGGGAGATATCTCCAAAATATCTTGGAAATTGCGCTTTAACAGAACATTTAAACCTTTCATATAATGTTACACTATTTGTGATATTCATCATTGCTTAAAATACGTAGCATAAAACGTGGTTACTAGTATATTAAAGGATTGGAAGGTTGAAAATTTCGATCTATTAAAATAATTGCGAGTTAAATATTTGATTGATTGATAAAAAAAATCATTGTATATTGTTTAACGTCCCTTTTGAGAATTTTTCACTCATATGTAGACGCCACCACTTGCCGGTGGAGATAGCTGGAATTTTTGTCCTTCACTCGGCACTTACGGCCATTGAGCTGGGAAGGATCTTTTTTGTGCCAGCACCTACTGCAGCACAAACAATTGGTCATGAAAGGACCGGTTTTCACATTCCAACAGTTATTAACCCGTATACGCAAAAAACAACTCTTAACTTCGCGACTTTAGAGCAGACGCTCTAACCACTGCGCCATCAAGCAACTTAAATCTTTGATGATCTGCTTGTATTTAACAGCGCTCATTCAAAAGAATGTGGAAGCTGAAGAACGTTGACGTTTTAGGCTTTCGTTAATGTTTCCTCGTCGTCAAAGTTTTTACTTAAATTACAATAGTCGGTTTGTAAAAATAAAAATACCAAGATACCTTCTAGCGTGCTTACTACAACTTAGTTGATTATGTCAACAGCAAAAAAATGATGATTTAGTTCCAATTTTCGAGGATAATATATCAATGGTGTGCTTTTCGTATAATATCGCCCCCACCAATTGCTTCAGAATATAACTGATTTAATTGATTGATTGTTCTTATTTTACGCCGAGTCGGCAATATTTCAGCCATATTTCGGGAGAAATCACTGCATGTTTTATTAGAATGATAACAAGTAGTCCTTAAGAAATTTAAGAGCAAGGTACAATGTATATCGCTAACACTCGATATTTGTTCTGCAATGTGGACCTGGAATTTATCTTTTTCTCAAATTTAAAATGCAGATAAAATGGCCAATACAATATATGTACATATCAATAAGAAAATAGATTTCAGAGATGTAAAACGAGAATGTTTTAAGAATTAAAATGATAAAATAAGACAATGATATAATATAAGCCAAAATGCTCAACAAAGTCTGAAACAATTTTTACTGACAATTTGAAACATAAACTTCCCTTGACCGAAACCGAACAGCACAATAAGGTATAATGCGCAATAGCAATAGACTACTTATTGGGTTGTTCTTTAAAAAAGCTTCATATATATTAGAGATTCGCATGTAAAACAAGATACTTACCTATCTTGATATCTTAATATACGCAACCTTAAGATGCTGACCAATAAGCTTGAGAAAACTGTAATCTCTTTGATTTAAAGATTATTTCACATTGCCTTTGAAAGAAAGATGGCGTATAAGGCGAGGACAATCCCCCGCTCTGAGACAAAATGTTTCTCAATTTTCAAAATTCACAGAAAAGTTATACTTTTCTAAAATCATGTTCTCAGTAATGTCATCTTCAAAACATTTTATCATTTTTTTTTACTGAACGACTTATTATTTGATATTCTTTATTTCAAAGTTGACAGTTAAGCATATTTAGTGGGAAAATGAGTTTACTAGAGCTATAAAAAATGAATTTTGAACATGAATGGGTCAAGTCTCCATTCTTTGTTAACGCTTAAATGATGGAAACTTAAATAAAAAAACTATTTCTTTTGTCCAAAAATGGAACCTGAACCCATTCTACATGAAAATCGAAATTTCTGAAAAAATGTACGCTTTAACAAATCCGTTGATTTTTTCAGAAATTTTCGATTTTCAGCGATCCCCCAATTGTATACAGTACAAGATCTGATATTTAATCGTATTTTTTTCAAATACCTTTTTAGCCTATTTGCTGTCGTATCAGTGCTCTTTAAATGACCCTTTTTATTGACCTTCTTAAAAATGAGAATATCATGTTTAGTTTTTCTTTTCTTTTTTAAACATTATTGTCCAAGTGTTAAATTAAGAAAATGAACAAATGATATGATGTGTCATTTTTTATTTTCTTTTGGTTAAATCTTAATATATGTTTAAACAATTATGGGATTATAAATCTCTTGAGGGTATATATTTCAAAACTTCAGATAAAGTCATGAAAAAAGGCAATTCATCAAATTAATGTAGTAAATTGTTTTTCTTATTAAAGTGACAAGTTCGAACGGGGGTGTCAAGAATTTGCAATTCTGAAATCGACTAAAATAATTAACGATCAATGTGTGATTTCCTTAAAATTATCATAAGAGATATTGTCATATTGACTAAAAGAATTCTATTATATTTCGAAATGATTCTTCGTAGACCAAAATGCCACATATTTTTTTATAGGACATGAAAAAATTGAGACTTCTTAATGTTTCACAAATCTAATTCGTAAATTTGTGTTTTCATGAAATGCATCCATTTAAAAGGTTACAGTGACTTTAACAACTATTAGTTATTGGACTATTTTAAACCTGGCTTTTTTCCGAAATGTTATTTCAATAAACCAGACACTTAATGCTCTAGCAACTTTGCTACAAGTAAAAAAAAATTCACACTTCGAATCCTTTCATTTGATACAGTTGATTGAAATTTACTTTATTTTATTTTTTTTTTTTACATATTTACAATCATTAAGGTGGCTTTTAACATTTAGGTATGGTCTGTGTCGACCTGTCTCTGATATCCCACAATGCCGTCCAGGACAAGTGGCAAGAAAGCAGTACAATGGTGTTCGTGATGTCGGCTACCTCAAATATACACAGGTATTAATTAAATTTCTTATTTCATTTAGGTCTTTAAAAAGCCTTCTTTAAATATGCACAGGTATTAATTTATAATTAACTTAGGCCTAAAAAGGCTTGTCTAAAATATACGCAGGTATTATTTTAACTCATCAACTTAGGTTTTTAAAAAAGCAGACCTCAAATATACTTAGGTATTTTTAACGCATCAACTTATGTATAAAAAAAAAAGGTTTACCTCAACTATACACAAGTATTAGCATAGTTTATCATCTTTGGTCTAAAAAAGCTTTTCAAATATTTTTGTATGTGTCTAATATGCTATTTTTTCTCCTTTTATAATCTTTTAAGTTGAAGAAACGTTCTGTCATAGACCGATAACGAGTTACATGATTTATCAGATTTTTTTCAAAGTCAGTCGCGTGTTTGCCTTAAGTAAGAAGTCGGTCACAGAATTGTAAATGTTTTATGTCATTTTAGATGGTAATACTTTAAAATATTTTTCATGAAAATAAGCATTGATAAAATATGACTAAAGTTAAACTAAGAGATAAAATGTTTGCTTCAAAAAAGGAATTATTGTCTGGCTTGTGGGGGGCTGTGACCAAGTAGCTGTATTATAAGAGCAACTGTGATCTTTTCTGAAATATTGTGGGCGATTATAAATACTTTTTGTCTATGTACTTTGTCATCCTATAGACAACACATTCGAGTCATATTCTTTACCTTACTTTCCCAGACGACTGGTATTTCTTACATTTTTTATATGTATCGTATGATAAGCGTGTTTGAAATTGATAAAAATTCTAACAAAACCATAGAACGTACGTTTTCTACATTTTCTGAATTTGATTGTTACATGCTGGATACGAGTTGATTTATACAAAAAAATAACTGTCTAATTATCAAAACTTAAATAGTTGTCCTATATTTTCAATTATTTAAATAAATTTGAAGTGTGAATTTCACAGTTATGTTTGAACAACTAATCAAATTAAATAAAGACAAAGTAGAGTTCCCACTTCAGAAATAAATATATAAACTCTGATAATATATACAATATAAAAATCATAATTAAATAATTAATCAACTCTTTAAACAATGATTATAAATGTTGAGTAAACTGAATGGTAAGATAGCCCTGAGTAATTATAGCAGCTTCACACTTCAGTTCATCTTCTTATTTCCTATTTCTCATCGAATGGATTAGAGTAAATTAATCCTATTCAGTAATCTTATATAGAAATGTCAATAAAGGTTTCTATGAAACTACTAGTATGATCTATGTCGCATGGAGCCTAAAAATGTCTTTATTTTCCAAAAAATGAAAAAAAGGAAAACAATTAGCAACTTGAAAAATGATACCAAGTTTTGTTATAAAGATCTGAGAATGATTTTTTTTTTCGGAGATAACTGACGATTGTGGTGGGCTGAAACATCCAATGTACATTTAATTAGCACAGTGTCTTGTATTCTGTGCATTAGAGCTTACAAAATTTACAAAATGGAAGTGAAAAATTTATTTTCATCCTATTTTATGAAAATAGTCCTTTTTGTTGTGTGTTGTTTTTTGTTAATGAAAATGTCCTTGAATTAGATAATTAAGAACATTTGTTTTTATGGAATAATCTAAAAATAAAAATATAAAATAAGCCCAAAAGAGAAGATTAAATATTTCTTTATTTCTTACTAGATTGAGGTTTTCTGATAGCTTAAAATCACCTGCAGATGTGCAAATCATGCAAGAAATTACAGCAATCAAAATTATTTTTATGTCAAATTCATTTTTTTTTCGTTAAAGAATGAACCATGAATTACAAATAAAAAGTGAATTGAGGCATTTTCTTTAAGATAAATTGTCTGTGCCCAGGAGATGGTCAGATAGGAATGGTTCCTACAACCGTCTGGACTAAAACCCGAAGAGATGACCCAAGGGCCGACTCGGTGTTTGAATTTGAATGTGCAGGTAGGTTAAATAAATTGTATATCATAGAAAATCACATCGATACACAAGAATATCTTTTATTTACGAACATTTCCGTAGACATTTCATAGCCTAACAATTTGTATGAAAAACCTTCATAGGCATAAATTGTTTTTCTGACATACCCATTGTATCTATCAGAGAACTTTGACTTTAAGTAAGGTTTTTGATATTCTTTTTTCTTCCACTTGTTTGTCAAAAAATTACCTCGTTTAAGAAATTGTTTGTATTAGAGCATGCGCTTGTGTATCGAATCAACTGAGAGATAAACCCCCATATGCAGGTAATAAGGGTATATTGCTATGAATAATTTTAACTTTATTATTAAACTTATTTTTAAAAATTAAAATTCATTTGACTTTAATAGATTAAAACTCTGTTTATCTCAAGTCCAACTTGTGTTTTCTCTAAGCAAACCATAGAAGTAACACTTGAATAATCAGTAGAAAAGAAGATGGCTAAAACGACTGTCTACGAGTGTTGGATATTTGTTCCAGCGATTTAGAGGACGTTATTTTAAAAATAAATGAAATAATGTAAACTTTGAAATTTATTCTATTTTTTTACAGATCAGACTCATGTCCAGCAGCACAAAAGAGGTGGGCGTGGCCGAGAAAGATCTGGATTTAGAAGATTTTACTTCTATAAATAGACTCCTCTTCATCATCGAATGAAAAAGCGAAACACGCGCCTTTTATTATTATTATTCGCTGTAGAAATGCTATCTTTTTATGCTACAAGGTATATAACTGGAACTTTTTATAGTATTTATAGAAAATAAAGTTTTGTAAAGAAATGGGGCATTCTTTTTTATGTGTCGACCAACTGTATTATAAAGTTTTTACAATAATAGGTAAGTTGCCCCAAACATACTGCTGCATTTTCAATTAACAATCATGGTTATTTCCACCATGGTCATTTCCATTCTTATTTCGATACGATATATCCCAGTGCATGAGCTTGAAATAAAAGATATCACAGAGTCTGACACATCTGTTTCATATTGGGATATTTTACTTGAAAAAGACGTTTATTGTAATCTAACAACCAAGCTCTATATGTTACACGTGATGACTTTAACTTTTCGATCATTAACTTTCCTTACTTATCCATCAATATACCTTCATCAGCTGCATACGGAGTTTATATATCTCAGTTGATTCGATACGCAAGAGCGTGTTCTACGTATGAACATTTTCTTAAACGAGGTAAATTATTGACAAACAAGTTGATGAAACAATAATATCAGCAGTCGCGTTTAAAGGCATCATATCATAAGTTCTATGGTCGATTCAATGACCCTGTCAGCAAATACAATTTATCATTGAGTCAAATGCTGATTGACGTTTTTCATACTAATTGTTAGTCCATTATTTAAACACTGAATTGACGACGGATTTTTCCGTTATTTCCCGAACATGACAAGGTGCATACGGCGGGTGTGGCCGGTCGGCAGGGGATGCTCACTTCTAAATGGCACCTGATCCCACCTTTGCTGTTTTGGGGGTCCGTGTTTGCTCTGCTCCTATTTTGTATTGTTTATGGACTTTTGATCTTGTGTATCGAATCAAATAAGATATGTAAACTCCGTATGCAGGTGATGAAGGTATATTGATGCATAAGTAAGGGAATTTGACGATAGAAAAGTTAATGTCATCAAGTTTTCCATAGAGCTTGGTTGTTAGATTACCATTAACGTCTTTTTCAGGTAAAATATCCCAATATGAAACAGATGTGTCAGACTCTGTGGTATCTTTAATTTTATCTCAAGCTCACCAGGATGTATCGTATTGACATAAGAATGGAAATTACCATCGTTAACTGACAATACGTCATAGATATATCTAAATGTCAAGTTGAAGGCCACAGCAAGTGTTTTCTTCTTTTCATGTATAAGATTTTGAACAAATTCTGCTTCAAATGAATACAAAAATAGGTCTCCTAATAACGGGGCCAATTGCATGGTACCCATGGAAATTCCAATAGATTGTTGCAAGATAGTTGCAAGGGTTTATTCTACCTATTCCCACTTTTTGAAAATCATGTAGAAAAAGTAAGATTTTTTGTGGGAATAGGTGGAATTTTGTGTAAACAAATAATTAACTATATTCTTAAATTAACGTATTAAGTTGCTTTTGTTTATTAAGATCTTTTTATTATTTCAAAAATCCGAAATAAATCATATTTTCTCATAGATGTATTCGTTATTTTCTGTCTTAAAATGTACAAAATACAGGTAAATCTAAACATCTATTGTTATTTGCAAGTGGGAATAGGTGGAATTGAGATTTTTAAAAAGTGGGAATAGCTAGAAGACACCAGTTGCAAGACCTGGTCTCCAAAAACAACATAGAAATTTTCAATAAGAAACTCAAGCATTTTTTTTATGTCAACTTCAGAGTACTTGTTTTACAGTCAGAATGTTTTTGAACAAAATTGTTTTGCAAATGACCAATGACAAGGTAAGTTAATATTAATTTATGAGTTCCATTTTTATTGAAATAGCAGCTGTCAATGATATCAAAAAGCCTGGACTTCAATTTATCGTGGGGAATGGTTGCGTATGAAGTTGAAAAGTCGTAAGTTATTAAGCTGTTGTTATTGGTAAAATCTTGTGATTTCAGATTTTTCAAAAGTTCCTTGGAATTTTTAAGTATCCACATCTGATTTACACAACTTCTTGAATATATTGTTGCACAGTACTCTTGAAGTTTCTCCTTCACTATTGTTAATATCTTAGTGAGAAGTAAAGAAAGAGACTTGGTTGAACATTTACTGGAACCCGCTATGTATCTTTGTTTGTAAGGATTCTTATGGAGTTTCGGAATCCAATATATATGTGGTAGTTAAAATTCATTTTGTTTCTTTAGGATATCAAAAATATTCAAAACTGATAAATGATTTTGAAGAATTTCTTCCTTAGAAAGGGAACTATGAGTTTAAGTTGGATTACCACTTGTAATTAAATCCAAGTTAATTCTTCTAAAGTACAATTTATATAATGAGCCTTACAAACAAATATAATGTTTTGTTCTAGAAGAACTTGGATATAATTCTGAAAGTGGTAATCCAACTTATATTTAGTTTCCTTTCTAACGCACACATTCTTCAAAATCAGATGCCAGTTTTAAATAATTGTAATAATATATTATTCCCAAAAATCAGTGTGCTTTTGAATTGCCATACCTAGAGTGGAATACTTAACTGTATAAAAATCTTTACAAACAAACTTCCAGTATATTTTCAAGGAATCTTTGCAAATTTCAAATACTAAGTAATAAAATTAGACCAAAATCAATAGTGTCAAAAAGAACGACTTTTAAACACTTTCTACAACCATTCTGCACCATAAATTAGAGTCTAGACTTTTTGACATCATAGACAGTTGCAATTTTCAATAAATATGGAACTCATTAATTTACATACACTGTGTAGCTTGTGATTAATCATCTGCAAAATTATTTTGTTAAAGAAATTTCTGATTGTGCATACAATACTCTGAAGTTGATACTAAGTTGATAGATGAGTATTAAATAGATGCTTGAGTTTCTTTCCATATTTGGAGACCAAGTTTTCCGACAACCTATGAGTATTTTTATGAAACTTATTGAACTCAAATAAGACATTACAGATCTTGAGTCTGGCACATCTGTTTCATATTGGGATATTTCACTAAAAAGGTAAATCAATGGCCAACTAACAACAAAACTTGATGCTTAACGTGATGACTTCAACTTTTCTTCTCTAGGTAGCAATACCCAATCATTACCTGCATACGAAGTTTATGTTTCACAACAGTGATTTGATAAAATGATTCCGTTCAATAGTGAAACGGTGAGACCATAATAAGAGATTCAAAATTTTCCTCATTATTGAATCATTTTGAAGAACTATTAAATCACGGTTTTTATGACAGACAGCAATATAAATTACTTAGTTCATGTGAACTTCGATTTCTTTTTTCTTGTGGATATATAAAGGAATTCTACAGATACCTTGGATTACATGGTGGGCGTTAATATGAACATTATTAATTAGTAAAGTTTTATAGCCAGCAAATAATGTCATTGTGCCATTGCATTTAACGTGTTTAATGACAAAGGGATGAAAATATAGTACTGTAGCATAGCAGTGTGCAAAAACTGAATAATTGATACAAGAAAAAAATTAGAAAATTTTACTGTTGTCAATATAACTGTCCTGGATATTAAAGCGAGTGCAACAGCACATAGCAAAAAATCCGCGAAAATCGCATTCCATTTTGTGGCCTTAATACAATAAAACCAGTTGAATGAACTCTGCAAGCATTTGACAATCTCTGGTGCACTCACTTTGGACAGTTTATATATTGTCAACAGTAAAGTTTTTTTTCTTATATCAAAAGTTATGCATTTTTGTAAATTAAGTATGCAAATGATTTGTACTTAAGGGTACAGAAAATCAATACAGATGTAATAAAAAAGGAATTAATTAAAAACGGGGGGGGGGGGGGTATTTGGTACAAATATTGTTCTGCTTAATTAACATAAATTCATTTCAATATTTTTTTTACGAACATCAATATTGAGAAACAACAAGAACTCTGCAAATAATGAGGACTAAATCAAATAAAATTAATTCTTAGTTTCAATAATCTGAAGAAAAAGAATGGTGGTGTCTATTCCAACATTTAATTAACATCGGGTTTGATATACAAAATACAACGTTCGGTCATTCGCCGATTCGGAAGTTTAGTCAGCCTTTCAGTTTCAGGTTTGTCTAATCTAAATACTGCTTTATATAACAAATAAGGAGAAATTTAAGTTGCACAATTGGCATGCAAGTTATTTGAAAAATTTTAAATGTTGCCTATGTAATTAAATCAGTGAATGACACAAAGTCAAACTAAGTCTAAGGACACCTGCCATTACGCAGTGTAAAACAGTGCCTCATCATGAGGCTCATGCTATATCAATCTGCGTTCCAATAGATATTTGTTTATATAATATGTACAATAGTATATCTTATTATAGTGTTTGTGAGTCTAGGAAAGACTTTGAAAGTCAATTTTTCTGCCTCCTACATGCAAGATAAATTATGTCAACGTGCATGAAAAAATATCAGCATGCAAGATTATGAAGATAACTAATATGTCCACAGTACATGTTATTAATATTATGCAGTTTACCAGTCATCAAAGATTATAATTTTAAAATGGGTAAATGTCTTTACCAATGCCAGTATTTGACATCTTAGATGCTGGATGTAGCATAATTATGTTGACATGCAACTAATTTATGTTGGCAACTTGACATGCAACTAGTTAACATGCAACTTATTTATGTTAACATGCAAGATAAATCATAATCATGTTTACGTGCAAGAAAATTATATTTACATGCTGATGCAACTTATTTATGTCAACATGAAACTTATCGATGTCAACATGCAAGATAATTATTTGCATGTCTATATTCATTCATTTCTCGCATGTTGACATAATTTACTTGCAAGTTAACATAATTATAAACTTACATGTTGACATAAATAAGTCACATGTTCACATAATGATACTTGCATGTTAACATAAATAAGTCACATGTTCACATAAATTGCATGTTAACATACATGTACTTAACTTGTAGGGCTGGGACGATACAACTTTTTCTATATCAACATGTATCACAATATTTGAACCATGATACCAAATGTATCACAATATGTTTAATTGGTTATAAAATCTTTTTTGCATTAAAATAAACAAAATATTTCTTTGCAAATAAGAATAATTTATTCAAAATAGTTGTTTATATGTTGTAAAACAAGAATATTTTACTCAAGTGGTGTGTTAATTATTAGCTCACCTGAGCCGAAGGCTCAAGTGAGCTTTTCTGATCAAAATTTGTCTGTCGTCGTTGTTGTTGTCGTTGTCGTCGTCGTCGTTAACTTTTCACATTTTCATCTTCTCCTCAAGAACCACTGGACCAATTTCAACCAAACGTGGCACAAAGTATCCTTGTGTGAAGGGGATTCAAGTTTGTTCAAATGAAGGGCCACGCCCTTTTCCTAGGGGAGATAATCATGAATTAGAGAAAAATTATTGGCATTTTTAAAAAATCTTCTTCTCAAGAACCAATGGGCCAGGAAAGATGAAACTCATGTGGAATCCTCCTCAGGTAGTGTAGATTTGAATTTGTATCAACTGTTCATTTCCCCCGGGGGTAAGTACAAACCAAAATGGCCGATCAAAGTTTTACATAGGAATATATAGGAAAAATCTTTAAAAATCTTCTTCTCAAGAACCACTGGGCCAGGAAAGATGAAACTCAAGTGGAATCATCCTCAGGTAGTGTAGATTCAAGTTTGTTACCCATGACCCCCGTGTGGTAGGCGGGGCAGAAATGGCCGATTGTCAAAGTTTTACATAGGAATATATAGGAAAAATCTTTAAAAAATCTTCTTCTAAGAACCATTGAAACAGGAAAGATGAAACTCATGTGAAATTATCCTTAGGTATGTAGATTCAAATAAGTCACATGTTCACGGGGTAAGGATGTGGCAAAAATGGCCGACCACAGTTTTACATAGAAATATATAGGGAAACCTTTTTAAATCTTCTTTTTCAAGTACTTCAAAGCCAGGATTAGTAATATTTATATGAAATCATCCTCAGATATATGTAATTGGTTCATTCAAATTTTTTGGTGCATTAAAATAAACAAAATATTTCTTTGCAAGTAAACTCAGTTCTGATTCAATATAGTTTTTATATGATGTGCTCAGGTATTTTACTCAAGTGGTGTGTTCTTGTTATTTATTTCATATCTATACTGTATAATCCCTATTAACCGCCTCTGGTGCTTATAAAATTGTGAAAAGGGGTGTTGTATAGGTATTCTCTCTCTAATATTTAATATATTTCAACTTCAAAAAATCTTTTGAAAAAAAAATAAATTCGAAGAACCACTAAAATGATGCCCAACTTTACTTTGAAATTAAATTCTCCTAAGAAATTGGTAACTTGGATGTCAACATAATTATCTTGCATATAGATAAATAAGCCAGATATTTAAGTAATTGTTAAAATTATTTATCTTACATGTACATGATTTTGGGGGGCAGTAGATTTTATGTGTGTAGACTTATTTTGTCTTCACCCTTTTCAATTCATTTTCACACAAATATGACATAACTAGTATGACTGTGTACATTTTTAAAAAAAAAAAAAGAGTGAATATAACCATGATAACAGTACAAACAGATACTTTTTTAGCTGTAATATGTTTATGGTTGCCTGTTGGGGCAAACACAGTTAGTAATTGGCATTTTCACAAATTCAGTGCAAAAATTTACAATCCTCTTCTATTCTTCTCAAGGTTGAATTAGAAGAGAATACTTCATAGCTCATTAAAATATTGACCAACGCAAGTAAAGCATAGTCAGAAAATAAACCTTTATGTGACCTTTCAATACCCAATTGCAGGTTACCAAACATTTTTTGTTGACTGTTGAGTCAATTGTTGATTTCAATTGAGGAAAGACATACTGTCATTGGCTAAATATGACATCACATCACAGAGACATAAATATTCAAGATTACAACACTATGTGATCATTAATAAATTATGTAAAGTCTGATTTACTGCTCACAGGTATGTATTGCTTTATGAGAAGCACTGCTATTACTCCGTGGAACATGTGGAGTGGGAAACAAGTATTTCTTAAATTGGTGTAGACTTTAGAATTTTAACACACACAAATTGCATGCTTGTTTTTATTAAAGAAAACACAAGTGAAATATACTCTGGCACAAGTATTGCTCATAATTTCAGCAATCTAATTATAGTTATGTGTTTTATGGCTTTCAGAAAAGGGAAAATAGTGAATTACATCACATAATTAGTGGTAAAAATTGTGTCATCCCCTAATACAGGAAACTGGTTCTTTAACAATCTTTGTACATAATTATATAAAAATCTCTTTTAAAATATACATACATATCCATTTTGTTTTTGTTTTTCAGATTATGAATACATTTTATTAACTTTGATAATTTATACCTGTAACAATGCTGTCCAGAAGACACCAGTCAAACACCCGACTGGAGCAGATCTGTAACCTGGAAATCGACGCACCCGTCGCTAAGGCCAGATTGACCAGTATTATTGGGACTATAGGTCTGTGGAGGTGTTCTTTATTTAGTTTTTTAGACATGTTTTATTATAAATACATGTACAGGTTTGTCTGTGTGCTGCTCTGAGTTTTTAGAGAGGTTCCCTTGGTACCTTTTCTTGGGTGACTGTCAGTCAAAGTCTAAAATTAAAGAATGAAGTGCAGAAATCTCTGCATGGTCATTTGGTTAAAAGACACAGTTGCAGAAACAAACAAAAGATAGTAATGAAAACAAAATCAGATGCGTAATTTTAGACAGTTTAACCTTTTAAACTTTACATATAGAGCAGAAATGTCAGATTTATTCAAACCTTGTTAATTCAATCAATGCTTAAATGTTCCTTGACAATGAAATTTTTTTTATTTTAGATTAGTATCAAAACCATATAAATACATTGTATTTTTGTGCTATTTCAGTACTTTGAATATTTAAGCTTTTGATTGTAACAGGTCTAGCATGTGATTCTGTGGAAGTTCTTAGAAAAATGATGATGACCGGCATGACAATTTGCCGATTGAATCTTGCTTATAGGACTCATGATGTAAGTATTAAACTTGTAAATTTTAAACATTTTAGAAGAGTGCTGATATCAATGAAAATTTAATGCTATAATTATAATTATGAACTTTAGTGTATTTTTGTTTTACTTTTCATATAAATCCAATTTTCTTTTTATTGGAGTGGGGTGTTATTTTAAAAATCAATGTACTATTAATTAAGTCATTGTGATGAAAATACATTGCTATAGTAGCAAAAATGGAAGATAATTCTTTATGTTTTATGGTAAAGAAAAAAAACTGCAGAAACTTTTTAACATACACAGAAATAATTTCTTTAATTTATTTTTGATTACTCTCCTTTTTATTTAGTATTTCAAAGGAGTTGTCAAACGGATTCGTGAGGCCCAGGCATCGTTGGATATTCCCATTCAAGTGGGTATAGGGATAGACATAACAGGCACGGGGATTAGAGTAGGAGCGCTAGCTAAGGTAATGTATAACAAAGGGGGTCAGTCTGTTTGTTTGTAGGGAATTTGTATCAATGAAAACCTTTTTTATAGTGCAAAAATCAATGCTTTGTAATATTTTAATAAAAATTTTATAGAATTCGAAACTGTTTGATTTTTTAAAATCTAATTTATTAAGATTTACTTTTTATTATGAATCTAAGTAAATTTAGCACACAGGTCTGTTGCATCAATGATTATCCTTTCATCATGTTCATAAGCATTATCTGGCTTTGCAATCATTGTGCTGATTCTTTCATCATAAATTTCAGAAAGTCTGAGGTTTTCAATTGGTGCATTAGATCATTGTTTCTATTCCTCTTACTAGGAAGTAGGACTCGGTCAAGAACTGAAAATGAAAAAAGGCGACGTAATGAGATTTTCCATTGATGAGAAGTACAAGGATAATGGAAACGAGAGTATCATGTTTTTTGAGGCAGCCGAGGTATTCTCCCAGATTTCTACAGGCAGTAACGTGATCATTGAGGATGGGCCTCTTTTGTTCACCATCAAAGAAAAGGGTGAGTCAGGTTACATAAGAATTAATTGTTTTTCAGTCTTTGATGGTAACATTAAAAAAAATTGTCTTTTCAAAGTTTAACCTCATCAGAGCTGAAGGTTGAAGTAAACTTTTCTGATCACATTTTGTTTGGCTTTCATATGTGTAAAGTTCAAAGAATGGTCAGACCCTCTTTAAAAGGGGGATAATTAAGAATTTTTGAAAATTTAATGGCATCTTTTAAAATCCTTCTAAGAACCACTGAACCAGAAAAATTTATAAATTTTTTGAAAAGTTTTATTACATAGTTTTGATTTAAACTTGTTCAAATCAAGTCCCACAGAGTATAAACATCAACTTTCGACATGGGAATAAACTGGAGAAAATCTTAAAAATTCTTCCTTTCAAGAGTAGCAAGGTCATGATAGGTCACATTTATATGAAAACATTCTTAGGTAGTGTTCGCTCAAGTTAGTTTAAAAATGTTCTTCAAGAGAACAGCAAAGTCTTCATTAGACATATCTATTTTAGCCAAAGATACTTATGTGAGCGATGTGGTCCATTGTCTCTTTTTTTGTGAATAGGAGAAGATTATGTGGATTGTGAAGTGGAGGAGCCAGGTGAACTTGGAAGTCACATGATGTGGACAATTCCTAATATGGAAATGAGGGAGGCAGAGCTATCTGAGAAGGACAAGGCAGATCTGCAGTTTGCTCTTGACAATGATGTGAGTGTAGAGATCTGAGTACAATGTAATCATTGTTTATTTTTTATAAATAATTTTAGTCTGCCATTGGACCTGTTAATGATGAAGATATCAATCTGAAAGCAGCTAGTACAAAGATATCAGATTATTATGGAGTAAATTGAAAGGCTATGGTAGAGTTATTTCCACAAGTCTGTCATATTGTAATTGTCTAGTAGTTTGTAGGACTTGAAATACTTATGAATAAACTTAAGTTCCAGGGACTTTAATGTAAAGTATTTCTACTTATAAAGACTTGTTTGTGAATTTCAAATTTCTATTTACAGAAGTAAATGTAAACATTTTTTTGTAACTTAGATAACTTATTTTTACAGATAAGAGCTGAAAACACAGAGCACAGTTTGTTTAAACCAATCAAATATTTTTGAATGCTTATGGGATTAAAATGTCCTTTTAAAGTTATCCTTATCATCCAGCCAACACTAATGTCTTGAAATTTCACTTCAAAATCACTCTAAAGTTAACATCCAACACTTATTATACCCCCCGCTTGAAAAGCGGGAGGGTATATAGTAATCGTTATTTCCGTCCGTCCGTCTGTCTCTCCATCCGTCCGTCCGTCTGTTACGCTTTAGGGTACCCATCTCTTATCCGCAACTTCTCTTATACATGTACCACTGAGTGAAATTTAATGAAACTTTCACTGAAACTTTATTGCATATTGTACCATAGGACTGGCGATTCAGATTTTAATTTGATGTTGCTGTGGTGTATTTGCCAGAAGAACCACAATTTTTAAGTCACGCCCACAATTTGGCATCAAGCCATAATGTAACAAGACCTTGACTGATGAATGAATGATGTTAATTTCAAAACCTTGGCAATTAGCTGATAAATGAGTTTAATCAACATTCTAAACTTCAAGAATACTAACATTAATTTGTCGACATTCGCTTCGTATTTTACTAAGCGTATCCTGTTATACGTTCTGTATCGAATTGTCTTAATTCTTATTCTTGTCTCAAAATAGTAATTTCACATTAAACATGTTAAAGGTCCCCAACTTTTTTACTTGACATAGGCGTTGGAACCCCCCCCCCCCCACTTCTTTGCAAAGATAGACATAATATATAAGCATTTAAAATTGAGGTCTACCTTTTCTTGTTGGTTTAGCCCCCCCTATTTCAATTTACTTCCGACGCCTATGCTTGCAGTACTATTTAAACTTTCTTTAAAATATCATGAATCGTATAGCGCTTTTTGTACATTGATCACTATAAATGAAAAGTTCAATAGGCGATGTTTTCCATTGAACAGCCCCCCCCCCCCCCCCCCCCCCCCAAAAAAAAAATTAAAATCAATCTTAGACAGGAATAACAGCCCAAAATAAAATAGTTTACGACGCTACCTCTGTTCTTGGCAAAAATCAAGCCCTGTGTCTAAGCTGCAACATCTTCAAATGTACCAAATAATGACAAATCATTCCGATTTTTTTTTTGATCGACGATACCCCAGACTCAGCATTCAAAATGCAATCCGTTCAGTTGGAGAAAGGTATTTATATAGACTCTGGACCATGGCTTGACAGGATGAAGTGGGCGATGCTAACTGTCAACCAGCTTTTCTCTCATTGGTCCTCTGGTACAAGTAACTTACACAATAGATATTAATTGGTTAATGGTAAATACACTCACAGTTTTTAATTCACTCGGGGCTCCGCCCCTCGTGAATTAAAAACTGTGAGTGTATTTACCATTAACCAATTAATATCTATAGTGTAACTATAACTTGCCATTGTGCACCTCCTATTTTACTTTTTGATCTCACACATATTTTGGGTTTCCCGGTCGTGGCAAAACATGGACTCTGTCATCAGTTATAACCATATGGGAAGCGGGGGTATCATTTAGTGAGCTAATTGCTCACAGTACCTCTAGTTTTAAAAGTTAACACCATCATCTACCATGTATGTCTACCAGTTTCATCCAATACATGCATTAAGTGAATCATTTGCTTTGTAGTTGGATATGGTTTTTGCCTCTTGGATTTCATGTCCTGAAATGGTAGCAGAAGTCAGAAAATTTTTGGGAGAGAAGGGCAAAAATATGAAAATCTTGGCTAAAATTGAGACCAAAACAGCTGTGAAGAGGTAGGGCACAAGCTGTCTCCTTGTGCATGATTTGTTGTACTGTTTAACTTTAAATTTATACGTTTTAGTTGAATGGCAATTCATGTCAAAGTTATTGACAGAACTGTCAAAGAACTTTAAAATAATACTGAATCATTTTTATACGCCCGTCTTAAGATGGGACGTATTATGTTATAGGCTTCGTGTCCGTCTGTCTGTTAGCTTTTTCGTTTCCGGCTCATAACTTTAATACTATTAGGCCTAGGATTATCAAACTTTGTCATCTGATGCATCTTGGGTAGAAGGTGTGTCGCGCACAAAAAGTAGGTCACTTTGACCTTTAATTAAGAAGATATAGCCAAATATGGAAAAATCCTTTCCGGCCCATATCTAGAAAACTGTAAGACTTACAATCATCAAACTTGGCCAGTTTATGCATCTTAGGTAGAAAGTGTGTCGCGACCTATTTCAAGGTCACTGTGACCTTTGATTTAAATGAAATTTTAAAAAAAGATGTGTCTTTTTACTATTCATTTACATATCCCAAATAATGTAAGAGTATTGCACTGTCCTTATAAAAAAAGTGTTAAATAAAGAAAATACTTATTATTTTAAAGCATATACTTGACAGCAATCTATAACAAATATTATGTATGTTAGAAATCCTACCTCTCCCATGAGTGTAATTATCAAGCACTGGTCAAGACTCAAGAAGAATTTTGATAACAGAAAATTGCATGTCAAATTAGAGAGAAATTAATGAGTTTTGAGTGTGAGGAGTTCGCTGATAGCTAGAGCATGGTGTTATCTATATCCCTTAAGTATTGAGCAAATGGATGAGCCTGTTGGATTAAAAATAGCTCTTTCTGGCTGGCCTAAGATTTAAAATGAATTTGATGAAAAGTAATTAAAACTAATTTGATATTGCATTGTAGACTAATCTTATATTATATAAAATTGTTAATCTATAAAAAATAATTTTATGGGATAGGGTGGAATCACCATACCCATATGAATTTTATGTTAAAACCTGTTGGACATTAAATCTCAACCAAAAAAAATCTTTGAGTATTTGATATGTTTTAAAAAAAATTATGGTAGATAGTGCAGACCCATTCATCTATTGTTATTAATGAGTAGACAAGCATCCAGTTAAAGATTAATTAATGAGTTCAGGCTAGCTGTCTCAATCACTCTGATCAAGCTGTATGATGACCTTTGGGAATTAGACAGAAGAACTGTTGGTTAGTTTATAGCATATGTCATTTGATGGCCAGCCTTTTCTTTTCAAAATTAATTTGGTATAGATTAAGTTGTTAAGACTAATTTGATATTGTTTAATATGATGGGCATTTGACAAGGTCTAACACAACCAGCATAGAAATCCATCAATGATGTAATATTTATTATAATTAATGCCTACATCACAGGGGATGGATAAATATTTTTAGGAATGGAAAAATCATGGAAATCTTAGAATCAGGGTTGACGAGATTGGAAGCTAAACTGTTCAAGAAAATTGTAATTTTTTGACGGGCGTATCATGCTGTGGCGCGGCACTTTATTTATAATAAATCGAATTTAATAATGGAATCAATGTTAAGGTCAGCATTGATTATGGGCTTTGACATTTCCATGGTAGTTGACATTCAGAATATTGGCAGTAGTAGTAGTATTGCAATAATTTTTAAAAGGTGTATGCATGATCCTAATTTGTAAATCATAATTAAAGAACAAAAATCAGAAAATTTTTCAAATTTAGGATTGATAAAATAGGAATTAAGCCTTCTTTAGGAAGGAATATGAGACAAAAATATCCCTGTGTTCAAATTAATGATAGGATTAGATGATAATACTGGTGGTATGTGATAGTACATCAATTTTCTGCAGTCTAAGCAGGATGTGAAAGATATACTGTTTCTTAAATAATATTGTTTCGATAGAGATTTAATGATTAGAGTGCATCTTTCAAGATTTAGACAGGGGTTATTTTTCTAGGTCATGTACTTTCGTGTTTAAATAATTGTAGCTAGCTTCCTATGCCCAACTTATAAACCTTGAAGTTTACACGTACTGAAAATAATCCATTTATGTTCAAAAGAAAAATATCAGTGTCCGAGACTGAATTGTTACTAGAATTGTATTTACTTTACTTGCCCCATTCGATTGAATACAAAAGAGCATATTTGTCACCAAGTGCAAACAATTTCTTAACTAAGACAGGCTACTGATACAAAAGTTGATGATTCAAGGAGATGCTTACTCCATCTTGGCACCTGATCTCACCTATAATCTGCTAATTTTTTCAGGAGTCTGCATTTTCTCTATTCTCAGTGTTTATTAATTATGTTAATTGTTTATTTAGTTTACTTTGAGTATGATTACAGTAATTAATTGCATGGTCATTTCATTTTAGTAAATTTCCATACAAGCTGAAAGACAATGTTTTTAATGTTTGCAACTATATCAAAATTTTAAAGATCATATTTTGAATATTTTTTTTTTCTCATTTTTTTATCCCCTGTCTTTTATATGTATTGAATTGAGAACTTCAAGATATTGTTCAATCTAAATAACTGTATGATATTTATCCTGATTTTCTTTCAATGAAAGAAGATGGGCGTATTTGGCATGTAATCTGCAGGAATCATTTGTACGAAACATTTATGATTTAAATGTCCATGATTTGGTTGGCTGAACATAGGTGGTCAGATTTTACAAACACAGTCATAGAATTGTTTTTTCTTTTAGTTTGAAATACCTTGTCAGATTGTAACGTTTATGACCATTTTTTCCTAGGAGGTACAACAATTCATAGTAATGGTTCACAGAAAAAATAAACACGTATAAGACTAGAGGCATAGATGATAAGTGTACTTGTACATCACAAAATAGAACATGTAGAAGATTGGAATTGATTTCGCTCTGGAACCAAACTGAACCAGAATATATATCTAATTCAGAATTTTAATACATCTGTACATAAAATGAAACTGACAAAATAATTGATTGTTTGTATTTTAAATAAAAAAATAATTAACGCCCCATGCGAGACTCGAACCAAAAACTTTGGACATCTAGTGCACTGAACAAGTGGCCATATTACTGAGCTATCACAGCTTCACACACAGAACGGTTTTAAAAAGACAAAGAAGCATCACATTTACACAGTTTGATTTTTTGGGAAAAAGTTCATTTTTTATGGTCTCTGGGTCTTCTCTCCATTTTTTACAAATGTATATTTATTTCTTTGAATTAAAATGCACACATATAACGTTTCAAATTCATGGAGAGAAGACCCAGAGATAGAAAAAAATCTAGAGAAACGTGTTTAAAATCGTACCATTTTGTACGAAATGTCTGATCTAGCCAATTTTCAAGTTATTTTTTAGCAAATCAAAATTCACTTTCGGGAAAATATTTTCCCTTCCTATTGCACAGGAACCTGATAAATAAAAAATGTTAAAATTTCATGTGACATGTTGAATTTTTTTGTTCACTTTTCAAGTACGCTCCGATTCCTGCAGAATGCCAATCAAAAGCGCCCTCGTTCTTTGATGAATAATAATTCAGCAAAACTGTAGCACTATATGTATTAATATGGTAAATCTGATGAATATTTTACAATGTTTGCTAGAAGTGTTTTGGATTCTTTCAGAGTTGATGAGATTTTGGAGGTAGCAGATGGCCTTTATATTGCCAGAGGAAATCTTGGCATCAATATTTCACCAGAAAAAGTCTTCCTGGCCCAAAAAATGATAATTGGAAAGTGTAACAAAGCTGGGAAACCTGTTATTTGTGCCACTCAGGTATGTATGATGCCTCGACTTTTTGGATCTCTAGGGTTTGACTTTTTTGTACAAGCCCTAATCAATTTTTTTAACTCTGCAGAATTCCAAGAATGTGTTATATGCACTTATTATGGTGATGCATAACTTTTTATGAGCATGGAAATTTACACCAATTTTTTAACCAATCAAAGGTTGTGTTACAAGCTACATAGGGAAAAAAAAACTTTAATTTTCATCAAGTCCTGGATTTAATAAAAGAAATATTGATACACACTCATTACACAGTATCTTTATCTAAGCTTTGCATGACTTGAAAACATGCTCTAGACAAAGGAAAATGTATCATATTTGAAGTGTACTTTAATTCATGACCTATTTTATTCTGAAATAATTTCAGAATAAAATATAGGTCATGAATTAAAGTACACCTAACAAAGATTTGAGGTTGATTTATGACATATTGGATTGCGATACAATTGATAACTTTAAGATTCTACATTGACATATAGAGTAGTCTTGGAATTAGTACATGCATGTATCAAACACAGTGACAAAGGTACTCAGTAGTGAATCAATAGAGATAGCAGGAAAATTCCTTCTTCATATATATATTTGCTACTAGCTAGGTAATGAATTGTCACTCCTTCAACTTTTTTTTCCTGAAGCGAAAGTGTTTAAGGTGACCTGTATCAACCCTATGGCCTAGAAAGTTTATGAAGGGGGGGGGGGGGGGGTGGGAGGGGGTGGTGGTGTTTGCCATTTTTAGTTCAATGAAGAGTTTCAGTGAAATAGATCAGACAGATGACTAACTTCTAGCATATAAATCATAGATAATGTCGGTTAGTTCTGTAATCTGGCTCTTTTCTAGTATGTTGTCTTATTGTAATGAAAGACCTGCACTTTTGAAATATTAAAGACTGCTATAAGGAAGATCTTGATTGTTGGTAAATAAAAAAATATCTTTAAAAATTATATCAATTTATAACTTAAAGATTTTTTTTTATTTACCAAATCAATCAAGATCTTCCTTATTTAACTTTAAGTCAGTGGTTTGCTGTTTTACCTTTGTGTTTATTTGTGTCTGTCTGTCTAGCTGTCAGTCTATCCATAAAAAATTTTCTGTCTCAACAGTTTTCTCAGCTACTACTCCAGACAGATGCTTGAAATTTAAGCACTCTCTCTGTTAAGGCATGTCGAATTTTTTGATTTTTCTTTTTAACTGTTAATTTAGTATAACTACTTTCAGGGGTGATTTTGAGTTTCCTCTTTTCAGATTAATGATGTTGGGATTTCTCTTTTCAGATGATTATTTTGGTCTTCTTCTTTTTCAGATGTTGGGAAGTATGATGATGAATCCACGTCCTACACGAGCAGAAGTTGCCGATGTTGCCAACGCCATTTTGGATGGAGCAGACTGTGTCATGTTGTCAAGGGAAACAGCCAGGGGAAAGCACCCTCTGAAGAGCATGCAAACCATGAGTGCGGTAGGACTGAATGATGATAAAAATTGCCAGTCTTTATTAAAAAAATTCTAAAGCTGAAAATGATCAGGTGTCATATTAGAACTAAAAGCCAAATTAATTTCTTGCTTGTTAAGGTTATTTTGATTTATCATTGCTTAGAGAACAAAGAATGTTGGAAAAACATGACAAAGATCAAATAACAGCTGGAAATCTTGTGATAATTGATCATTTGATGCCTTTTTTCAATTTTTTTAGGACACCTGAGTCAGGTGGCCTGTTGCTATCTATTTTTATCTACCTGACATATCATTTATTTTGAACTTTTTTTCAGCTCATATTACATACAGCTATTTGACACATATATTATATGTAATGTGATATTTTTTCCTAGGTGTGTACTCAGGCAGAGGCAGCTATTTTTAACGAGGAATTGTTTTTCGATCTGAAACAGAGATTAGGGAAAACCGGGAACACACACACCACTGCCATTGCTGCGGTCGAGGCCTCCACTAAATGTCACGCCAAGGCCATCATGGTGGTCACCGTCACAGGAAGGTAGCTATTCGTTTTGATATTATTGTGAAATTACTCATTTTCGTGGGGGTTTAATTTTCATTATTTTCAAGGTATTGAGAGACCCACGAATGTCCACCAAAAATGTAAAATTTCTTATGCATTACTACTACTGGGGTAAACATTCTCCAACTATGAAATCAGATTCCCACAAACCAATATTTTTCCTCAAATCTCGAAAATTTTACCCCATGAAAATATTTGATTTTACAGTACATGTAGTTACTTATTGATGTGATAATTTGCTCATAGTCTGACTAATAGTTATAAGTCGTAGTTTGGACATGTATTGCTTGATTTCTAGATAAGTTAACTGTATGAATTGACCCCAGCCAGCACTGTATATCACATTTTAATCTGAAGTCAATTTATAAGTGATTTTAAAAATTTATTTTGACATTAAAATTGTTCGGGTCAGTGATCAAGTGACTATAGGAATCACCTGTAATATACCAGCACCTATTGAAACAATGAATTTTTATTGGTTCTTGGGTATGTCATGTATGAAGAACTTTTCAAGATGAATAAATAATCTAATGGCAATATGTCTTTCACAACATTCCTTACAGTGATAAATTGTATGTAATTGGCAATATAAGAGACTGTTAGTGAGGATTTATTACTGAAATTTAGACCATATACAACTATTGTAATTTATACTGTATTATTGAATGATTTCAGGTCACCTGCTTTGATATCAAAGTACAGACCCAACTGTGTGATTGTAGCCATAACTAGATCCAAGAAAACTGCCAACAATCTGCAGCTACATAGAGGGGTGTTCCCAGTCTTATTTGAAGGTAAAGAGTTTATTTGTTTCATGACATATTTTCTTTTTATAAATGATTACTAAAGCTGACAATAAGTACCAGTACATAAAAAGGACTCCTAAGACTAGATTTGCAAAAGTTAAATGAACAATCATTGGCTTGAATAGAAATCCATGTTTGAGTAATATGTAACTTCGTAAGCATTATAAAAGTCAAACCTCAATATCTCAAAGTGAATGGGGTTGAGAAAGAAAACTTTGAGATATCCAAGAGTTATTGGTATAGGTATTTTACCTGGATAACCGAAATTCTTGAATATCTCAAAGTACTTTCCCAGTTCCATCAAGTTTGAGATAATGAGATGATTGAATTTCAATCTGTATCTATAATCCTTGGATATCTGGAATCATTTTCACAGTCCCATAGTGTTTGAGATAACGAGGTTTGACTGTGTCATAACTCGTCGATGTCGATTGCTTTGATAGATGATAGAGACGAGGTGTGGGTAGATGATGTGGACGCCAGATTGAATTACGGAATAATGCTGTCCCGTCAGCTGGGTTACATCAGAGGGGGGGACATCGTCGTCCTGGTGACGGGCTGGACCTCGGGGGCAGGGTCCACCAACACCCTCCGCATCGTGACCTGTCCCACCGTGTCACTTCCTGTGCCCTACGCCAGAATAGAAGTGGAGTCGTCGACGGATGACAAAGTGCGTTTTGAGTAGGCTTTAAGGCACTGGGGATATTCTCGCCATAAATTGAAAGATACTTTTTGAAATCCCTGATTCAAAAAATGTTAAAAGACTTGGATTTATGTTTGTCATAATATACCTTTAAGTTAATAGGAGTGAAAAACTGACTAATCCTTTGTTAAAACCTTATTTTGTTTTACCTTAAGAAATTTGAATATGTTGTCAGTGATCCATGTTTGAGAGAGTTAGACCTTATACTCGAATTTTTCTTCTGTTTTGTTTTACTTTCTTTTATTTTTTTAAACACTCATGTACACTTTTTGTGTTGAGTTTTTTTCCTTGTAGCTTAAAGCTCTTTGTTAAGTATGTGCCATATTGTTATATAGATATTATGTATGAATAGGTGCTGATATGTGTATGGTGTATATTGTTATGTGATCTGATATGTAAACTTTGACATAAATGTATGTCATGTCTTTTTTTTCTTTGCTTACTGTACAGGGGATTAATTTCACGGATTGTAATTTTCACGTTTTTCTCTCATCTGACACGATCGCGGTTTCTTGAATTCGCGGAATCGGTTTATAATAAAAGTTACCTCCTTTGTCTTCATACATTTAATCCGTACCATAGCTACATGTAAAAGACATTAATCAACGTAATGTCTTTATTTCACGAACAACAGGGTAGGTTAATATAAAATTGTTAGATATAAAATAAATAATACATGCAATTGACAATTAATTAAAACAAGTACAGTTTTCAAACGTCCTTGACTGTAGACGCAAATGACTTTCCTATATTATATGCTATTACGATGAGTTCATGTACACCCTAAGATCTTTAATACAACGCGGCGAAAAACCACTGGACAGTAATGTAGTCAGACGATCGACATAATATCCTTCCACATCTTCAGAAAGTTCAATATTCATTTGAATGATTTTAAAAACCAAATTGTCGATAAAAATTAATATGAATGATAATGCAGGTAACAAGTACACGTGGTAACATAATCAGTTTCGCACGGGTAATCAAAACCCATGGCCCACGTGTTTTGATTGAGGAAACATGTAGCGGTGGCTATTAAAACAGCTTTTTGACAAATACAGGTTATCATCTGCTGATTGGAATTAAAGTAAAGGGTGATAATTAATATAATTGAATGACAAGTACTACTCGTAAATACTATTAAATGGTTATGAACTGCATGTACTTGTATATAAACATACCATAGTCAATATGTTCTCAAATTTCCAAATAAAACATGGAGATTATTGAAAATTTATTCACTGTTTCTTGAATTCACGGATTTATCAACACCGTGAATATAGCGAATATTAACACCGCGAGTTATTTTCCCCCTATACAGTATTTTCTTTTTAGATCAATTTAAGTCTTATATTTTTTTCAGTTCAACTTGAGTTATGTGAAAAAGTGAATGTCATACAATGTTGTAAGAAATGTATTTAAATACATTATATGTACACTGTATTTAGATTGTTGAAAAAATTATCTATGTTTTGAATATTACTCTTCAGTACTAATCTTGTAAGCTGTTATACAGTTTCAAGAGTATGTACATGTGTCAACATTAAGTTATTGGTACTCAACTCTTTGGGTGGAAAAATTATTCAACTCTACAACACTGCATTCTGGGTAATGTTGTCAAATACTAGTACTCTTTATCTTTATTGCAGATTGTAAGAAATGCATAGAAATCATATTATTTCTTTTTTTTATACACCAACTGCATAATCTACACAAACTTTTCATTGACAAACTCGTTTCATTGTCATCCAATGTTGTATCCGGTTCAAAACCTTTGAGGATTAAGTAATATTTTAACTGCAGGGGAATATTTTCTTTTTAGAATTGGACTACGCAATGTATACAAAATAGTGCTAAAGAAAATACAGTTGAAATGTTTGTGTAGCACTGTACATATTTTCAAAATAAAATACATGTACATATATAAGATACCCATGTAAACTTTTAAATTAACTAAAAGAAATTTTAATTAATACCGGGGTACTACTGCATCTATTTTATAATTTTAGTATTAAAATTTGATATTTAAGTTTTAAATCTAGGCAGGAAAATGTGGCAGCCTGAGAATTACCAAAGTTTTCTTGATATTCCCTTGTTTAAGTTGTGAAATTTGAGTGGTTGATTGTAGATTTTTGAAAAAAAAAAAAGAGTGATAGATATGACATTATACAATACATGTAATTGAAAATGTATGATTTACTTTATGATCATTTCCTGTCATATGTACATGTAGATGAATATGATGCATGTGTAATGGTTAGGGCCGTGGATATCGGCATGGATAGCTCAGTTGGTAGAGCACCTGACTAGAGATACAGGGGTCCCGGGTTCGATTCCCGGTCCAGCCATACATTTTCTCCTTTTCTGTTACAGATTTGGTGCCGTTGACCACCCCTGGAATTGCAGGTGAAAGTCCTGCCAGGGGCAATAAGAACTTGGGTTGTGTCTTCGAGGGCGAAGACCATTTAAGGAGGGAGGAATGTAATGGTTAGGGCCGTGGATATCGGCATGGATAGCTCAGTTGGTAGAGCACCTGACTAGAGATACAGGGGTCCCGGGTTCGATTCCCGGTCCAGCCATGCATTTTCTCCTTTTCTGTTACACATGTATACCTATGGCAGAGGGGAGTAGATATGATAATATTATATATCTTTTAGCTCCAAAGAAAATAGGTAGAGGAGTTTTCAAGCTGGTACAATAATTTTAACTCACGTGCCATTAGAAGATATTACAGTATGTTTTATGCCTTGACAATACCAAGACAAGGTGCTCAAAAGAAGCTGGAAGGCCAAATGCAATTGCTCCAGCTAAAAGTATCTGGATGATATGAGAATATACCTGTAACTGTGTGTGTTGAATAAACATAGATTACTAATATATACATGTGTTGTTTTCATTTACCTAAAAAAGAATATCAATCCATTACTCGTGTGCATGTGAATTGATTACATTTCCTTCAGACCAGTATAATAATTTGTCAAGAATCAATGAATAAAATACATGTATATGTGAAGGCATAAGCACATAGTGGAATATTTTAAAGAGATATTTCTTCTGTACATTTACTTTTAAAAGTATTAGCTACCCCTTTATGTAAAGTTGTAGATTACACTTTCTTTCAATAGAGGAAAATACCTGGCAGATATCAACTGTATTTCTGAGCCCCCTTTGAAAAAAGGGAACATATACATGAATCTTTTCACCTGTTAGTCAATTGTTAGACTAGGTGCTCTTCAATCAATATCTTGAGAACCCTATGCTTGACATCAGGTTTTGTATACTGGTACCCCCTCAGTATAAGATGACCTCTTGATTTTGAGACCACTCTATCAAAGATTTAACATAAGTAGGTACTGATTGTTCAATATTTAGGGGATCCTTGGAAGACATCAAACTTGGTACATTATTACTCCTTAAAGAAGTCCTTTTGATATCAAGGTTACAAAGTCAAAGGTAAAACTACTCTAGACATGTATCCACTCATAATTAAGGCTTTGTATGACAAAGGTCCAACTTGGCATTCCCTAAGGAGAAGAAAAGAAGAGAAATGAAGTTATTTAAACTAGCTAGTTTGGCAAACTTGAAAACCCTATGCTTTCACAATTCAGAGAAGTAAAATAATACTTGATGAAATTAACAAGGGGCAGGTGAATATCATTGTCAGAGAAGAGATGTGTAAAAGACAGCAAGTACTGGGATAGAGAAATACGAGTGTAAAAGAAGACATTCGAACATTATAATGGCTTTGAAAACACTCAGTAATTTTGAACTCATATGTTTTTTAAATTTATAATTTGTATTAATATATATATATATATATATATATATATATATATATATGCAGGTACTTGCCGTCTTTTAATGTCCTTTTTGGCCCAAGTCGCAAATTAAAAAATGAAGGTCAATTTGAGGTTAAATGTTACGATCATATTATCAAATCCAGTGACTCTGTTAAGTATCAAGGAATCACAATTGATAAATTTCTAAAATGTAACCTAATAGTAGATGAGTTCGTGGCCAAGGTCAATTCTAGACTTAAGTTCTTATACAGGAATGGAAAATGGTTAAATAAAAGATCCAGATTAACATTAGCATCTGCACTAATTCAGTGCTATTTTGATTACTGTTCATCAGCATGGTACGAAAGTCTGTCCAAATCTTTGAAAAATAAGTTACAAGTTCTTCAAAACAAACAGTAAGATTTATTTTAAATCTAAATCCTAGAGCCAGGATCAATTGCGATATTTTAGATTCAATAAATACACTACGTGTATCTGATCGTGTAAAACAGTTAAGATCATGTTTTTAACATCAATCATAGCCTAGCACCAAATTATCTAAATGAGAATTTTAATAGGAATAATAATGAGGGGAGCGTCCAGTTTTAATTATCATGGAGCATACAATGATTCAAATTTTTATTACCAAGCCATTTTAAACTGGAATTCTCTTCCATTGGAAGTAAAAACTATAGCCAATAGAGCTAGTTTTAAATCTGCTGTCAAGTTGCATCTTACACAAGAAGCTCGAAGGATGGAAGAAAGTATTTATATATAATATTTTTACAAGGGAATGAAACTTTTTTAAAATAAATTGTATTAACCTGAAAATGTGAATATGTATATATTTGTCAAATTATTTTATTCAGGCTAGGAAAATTATGTAATCCTCAATTTTATTTTTTACATGCTGTCTTAGTATTAGGACCCCATTGGAAATAAGCATGTTTTATATATTGCTTTCATAGGCAAAGATATTAAAAAGATGTTTATTTGTGTTGTATGTGACATGGTTCTGAGAATTCCTGTGATAATGATAACTGTTAATACCTGGAGTGATATTGTTTTAATGTGATAGCTACATGTATGTGCTAGAACTTTTAAGCGATCCCTGATTAATTTTTGAATGTAATTTGTGATATGATTTGTAATGAATTTGACTCTTTGCCTGAATAAACATAATAATAATAATAATAATAATAATATTCTGAATATGGCTTTCACTCAAGCTGCTCCAAAATGATCCCTTCACTTTAGAATGAAGGCTTCCACAAATATTATTAACAAAAAACAAACAATAGATTGTTACTTAAAATATTTATAACAGACTTTTTTTTTAACATAGTATACATACATGTATATACTGGTAACATGTACTCATCAATTGATTTAAGTTTATATTGCAAGAGAAATGAGTGAGCTAAAGACTTTGCTTTTTAAAAATTAAAAAGTTTGTGTTCAAAACATCTAGGTTAATATGTGATGTAAAAACAATCAAATTCTAATTATTTAACAATTTGTTCAAAAATACCATGTGTGTATCATTAATCTCAATCAAAAGATTTTTAACTGGCAACCATATGAATTGCACCAAAGCTTGAATTTTTTTTATAATTTAAGCTATAAAGCTGTCTATTACATGCTTAAATTTATTTTTCACACAGTTTAAATACCAAATATGACAAAAATCACATTATGCACTTAGCTCCCAATCATTATACCCACATACATGCACAACAAAATGTGTATAACTAATTCAAATACATGGAAATGAATGTTGGAATATCGGAAAATACATTTGTATGAAAATTTAACCCAGGAAAAAAAATCTAAACAAAGAAAAAAATTGTATATATACTGGAAAAATAAGTGAAAATAAATTGGCGGATAAAAAGAAAAATGATTAAAGCTGACAAAATATCCCATGCAAAAATGAACATCTTAAAACCAGAACTGAAAGCCTTTATTCCCATGACACTTTATCTGATGACACAAAAAAATGAAGAAGTCTTTTGGATATGTGATTAAATACAAATATTCTACACAGAACTAAGCTAATCTTGTATATAAAGGTATTGATTTTTACCTTTGAGGAGAGGTGTTTGCAATAAGGGGTATGTGACTGTCCCAATTATTGTTGAGGAAGTTTTAGTGTGAATTTCATTAAACAAAAAAATCCTTAATTAATAAGTTACAAATTTATCTGCTTCTCTTCAATCTCTTAAACCCAACCCTACCCCCAAAATAAAAGTCATAAATATATTTCAAAAAATTAGCACTATTATGAATACAAATGAGTAATACATGAAATTAAATACATTGTTAAATGTTAAACTAGCTACTCATAAAAAAAGTTACATATCTGGTCTTATACGCAGACCTTAACATTTCTCACCAGTGTCATCTTTATAACAATAAAAGAATAGTTGGGGAGACAAATTCTGACCTTACTGATACCAGGTATGCCATGGCAAGGTGGTTAGAAGACAGTTTACACAGAAATTCACAAGTTTTATAGGCCTACGAAATAAATCCTTAAAGGTTTTACTTTTATTTTACCCTACTGAAAATTGTACAATAATAGACAATCAAATGGTGTAATAATACGTAGCACTTGATTTTGTCATTTTTATGATCAATATTGAATGTCCTTTTAGCAAAAACCAAAGAAAAATAATCATACAGCGAACAGAAGTTAAATAAAGTAACACATATTTAATGAATTTCCTGCATATATATATATATAGGCTAATGAAATATGTTGGATACATGGGCAAAAATTTTGAAGAACATTTTTTTGCACTTCTTATCACAGCTACTTAATGTTATATATTTTTCCTTATAATAAAAATTATAATCCCATTTTATAAGGTAATATTTTTTGTAATTAAAAAAATTCAAATCAGCAAGTGCCTGTGTTTCCTGTCCATTTCTGAGGTCATATACATGTACATGTGAATCTTTCACAATTAAATAGATCAAGCTTTTCTGAGGAAAAAAAAATCATACAACATAAAAATCACTATACAATATAGATGTACTATTTATTTCTTTAACAAAGGTTAAACTTGCCTTAAATTACTCACAACACAATGTATTTTTTTCATAAATAGAATATTTTTGTACAGTTTAATTTAAAGCACTTCTGAACATACTGAAAATCAATCTAATTCTTTAACAAACAGTGAAAATTCAAGTACCAGAGGCATTTGAACCATGAATATTTCCGTTTTCAAATGCTGGCATTTTTTTCACCAACATGTTCCTTCAAGAATCAATCATTGAAATTTTTTATATTAAAAAATATAATTAATTAAAAATGAAAATTTAGCCAAGACAAAATATATCATATGCAGAAATCAAGCAATATGGTAACTTAAAAAGAAAAAATACAGTAGAACACCTTGGCACCAAAGATCTAGTAGCACTCCAAAATCAGGTCCTTACAACAGAACACTTCTTTAGGGGGTTAAGAAACAAATCACATTCCCTTTTTCGTATGCATACTATTCGTATATACAGCAAAGCAAATCATTTTTTGAATTTTTCATCAAATCCTAAATGAACAGAGAATTGTTTAAGTGCAAGACCTCGGCTGATGCTTTTTAGGTCACTCGATCAAAGGTCAAGGTCAAAGGACACAGGAAGAGACTTCTTTGTGACTGATGTATAATCTAGAGCTGGAAACCATGACAACTAGATCCCATCATTACTATGACGCTTCGTCGGGTGATTTCAGTTCTTTTATTTGTTTTATAAGATATGCTTTCTCATCGTTAAACTGTTCATCATCCGATCTCTCTGTGTGAAATTTGGTTAAAAAGTCCACAAGTTTTTCTTTGTTCCGTAACAAAATGTCGAGAATGGGCTTTGGTTTGTTTGGGTTTGCTACAAACACCTGTAAATTGAAGATGAGCAACATATTAATGATCTTGTCAGAAATGAAGTGTCTTTTATACTTGCAGAGAAATAAAATTATCATAATCAAATTAGGTCAAAGCACATTAACTGCAGTCTGCATTTTTCTAAAACATAAAAATAATTTATAATACTTACTGCAAAAGTTGCATTATAATCTCTAAAATTTTCTAATTTATTGTGAAGAGATTTTCCCTTTTAACTTTTACCTTAAATACATGGAAGGCTTCGAACTGTATATTGCGACTCTTTTCTCGTAACATGGTCATCATCAGCTTCAGATTGTCGGGATTGCTGATATATCTCGTCATGGTGGTGAAATTGTGTCGATCTAACAGGAGCTCTCCTAGTAGCTGTAACAAAACAAGGACTTAAAGGCAACGAAAAAACACACTACATTACTTGTCCAAGTTATACCGAATGCAAGAATGCAATTTTCTTGAGCAGGTGCTCTCATGTCATTACACAAAATTTTAATGGAGAGAACGATTAAAGGCAATACTGCCTGTTGTTCAAACCACTTCATTGATTTGAATATAAATGTATATTTCAAACCAAGAAAATTTAAGTTTTTGTGAACAATCATGAATTAAATTATTTTCAATTCAACTGTAATATAGGCAATTTTTGCAAAATGTAACTCTCTCCTTATAGTTAATATAAAAACTTTTTTTTTGTTGGAGAATACAATCTCTGCTATATGAATGTAATGGTGCAGAGGGCAGCAAATTTCAATGGGCACGGATTTCGGCTCAAATTGTCAGTAAGTGACTATTTTACTTATATGTTTACCTGGACTTCCAAAATGTAGTTATCCCAGACATAAATCGATCCAAAAATATACAGAACAATCCATATATCAGTATTTTTTGTGTATGTCAACATCACAACTTAAATTTATCCGCCATTTTTACTGACCTTGACAGATTTTATTTTGGGACAGCCAATGAGATTAAGGATCTACAGGGAGCGGATTTCTTTGGAATTACCTTATTTTAAGCCTAAATGTCACTGTTTATGAAAAAATAACACATGGAATTATTTTATTTATCAATGTTTAGTGTTACTATTCATCACAATTATTTATAAACATTGACATTTGCTTTACTGATTTGTTCTAAATTTCAAGCGCAAGTCTCACTACGTCACGCGTGAACTGTCATGGCTGCAGAAGTAAATGCACAGATTTATTTTACACGGTTTTCGCGTTTAACGAGCTTTGATGTCGACAGTGAATAAAAAATTCGTCTTATTAGAAGTAAGTTGATTTTGAAAACAATTTATTCTGCCTGCAGTCACCAGTATTTACAAAATATTTTTGCACCATTACGGAGATGCTGTGGAATTGTAGCCCTCTCCAGAAAATAACAGATAAAAAAATCGGAGAGGGCTACATTATTGCAGCGAAGGCAATTCCCTCAAACATTAAGCATGTTTAAGAAAATTGCCCTGAATACAGACCTTGAGTGCTTGACGCCTCGTGACGTAGTTTTCAGAGTTGAGCAATCTCTGGTAGGACGTAAAAACTTTCTCATAGTTATTCTCCAGGAATTCCGCCGACAGCATTTTGTGCTTCACAAGCAACTCCTGTAGGAATAATATGAATTTTCAATGAATATATATATATCTAAAACTATTAAATCAATAAATGGATTATCATAGTTAAAAACATAGTTAAAGTGGTTTAATGCAGACTTTATATTTTAACACTAGATAAATTTAAATACAGTATGGGACCATTTTCAATAAGAAAGCAAACTTCGTGATATAATTAATGTATATAGTATATACTGGATGCCAATTAATATTTTTCATTAATACTAGTATCTTACAATCAAATCCCAAATTTTCGTAATAGAATTGCTAGGCCAAGGGTTTGAGAAGATGGAAGAGAATTTGTGAAACACTTGCCTAGTGAAAATGCTGGTCTGTGGGCAGGAAATACAAACCTTGAATGTTGAAAATGCATCAGAGGCTATATCAAATGTTGACACTTCCACATAATCAAAGAAGCTGTAGAATTCTGGGGAGAAGAGCATGATTTTAGCCAGAGCCTCATACCGACAACACTCCCTCAGCATCATGCCACAGTTTAAGGCGATTTCTTGGTTTTCATATCTACAAAATAACAAGTTCACATACACATGCATGTAACATACACAGAATGTAAAAGAAATTTATCTTCAGCAAATTTACTACTTGCTACTTGCAACAGTTATAATTTTGTCTAATTATTCATAATGTCTGCTTGCAAAAAGTTTGTATCACTTAAAATTTCCAGTTTCTTTTATCTCACAAAAATGTGGTTCATTTTGATCTACAGTATTCCCTCATCTATTCCTTTTCTTTCATTTCATTCTGTTTTCAAACATTTCTATTCAATAGATTCAAACATTGATTTACAAATCCTTAGCTATAAATATAGGATCTATGGATAAAAAAAAATATCATGGGTTGGCATCTGTTGTTAATTAACTTTACTTTAGAAATACTTTTAATTAAAATCAGTAATTAAATTTCATAAAAAAAATCTTTTGGTAACAGCAGATTACAGGTGTACATACCCCTTCATAAGATCAAAAAGAATTTCTTGTTTGGTGACAATGTATTCCACAGTAGGGGTGCGAGAACCAATCTGCCGTCGCAGAAGGTTGTTGAAAATAGCAACAACATCTTTCCTGCCCTATTGAATAAAAAGAAAACTAGATTAAAATTGATTCCATCATCAAATCTTTTTCCTGGATTAATACATCCTGCTGCAAAGAAATATGATATTCATTTTTACACTGCAATTATACCACAAATCAATATCAAAACTAAGTGCTTGCAGATGACAAATAGCACTGAATGAAGAGTGATCCTTCATTGTTTGTGACTGATTTTAAATACCTCAAAATCAATGCGGGGCAGTTGTTGTACTAGAGTCAGTAAAATGTGCGTGTTGTAAATTTCCTGTGAGAGCTGAGCCACCAGCTCGGTCTGGGGCTCCTGATCTCCAGCGCCATACAGAATGGTCTTTATAGCCGACAGGTTCTTTGAGACATCTTCCGTAGCCTGGAAAAATAACTAAAAACTTGAGTAAACTCCAGGCTGTTGAAAATTTAATCTAAGATGATTTGTATACTGTATACAGGGAAACACTCCAGGCTGTTGAAAATTTAATCTAAGATGATTTGTATAGTCAAAGTTGTCCCTAAGAATTTAAACAGAAATGGACTTTAAAATAAAGTAGGAGGGAGTTGGGGTGTCTCCCTTACAGCTGTCAATGGAAAAAAACTTTAACAATAGAAAAGATTAATGACAAAAGAAATGGTGTTTTCAAGCATTACTGTGACTTAACTTATAATAGAAGGGTGACCCAAACTTCTTTCCTTGAAAACAGCAACTGTTGACAAAAGATTATGTCACTATATAGGTAAGGAAACAAACATATTTTTTTTATATAGGTAAGGAGAGGAATTTCCCCAGTCTTTGTTGGTCCTAGGTACCATCCTGCAAGACTGAGTGCAATCACAAACATTTTTTAAACTACACGTACCTTAAATACATAAAACATAATCACCACTTTGTGAAAAAATATAATTGCATCAAATTTGGGAGTGTTGTCTGCATATCTCTTTATGATCACCAGTGATTTGTCTACTTTCACTTTTATACCTTATCAGCTTTCTTTTCCCCAGCCTGGCCCTTGACAACTGCCCCTAGAGCCTCCTTCAGGGACCTTACTAATTCCTGGGGACTCTTCTGGGATTTCCCAAAAAGGGGCATGTCCTTTTCTTTAAGGGTAGGGTAGAGACTGTTTGCTTGTAACCTAAATTAAAAAAAATCAATTTTACCTGAGTTAATAGATTTTTGGACATATTCACATTTAAATCATATGCCAATAAAAGTGATTCCTGACAGAATTGTAACAATAAAGCAGTCAGTTAGATGTAACAAGTGCAAAGAGCATACCCAAGTGTTGATGTATCGTACTAGATAATATCGAAAATGGTGTATGCCTATTTAAAAGTCATGTTCATCTTAAACAGAGATACTATTTAATCTATTTTACAATTTTCTGACATTATACATGTAATTAATTCAAGGGACCTCAAATTCCGTTTTTTTTATTTGGCAAAATCATGAACAACTAAAAGTTGGATATCATTTAATTTCAAATACCTCATACTCATAGAACAATCCTAATACAAAAAATTAAAATGAAAGTTCCTCTTATCATGCTTGTGTAAGCATATTTATGGAACATATCTGCGCTATTGAATATAAAGTGTACAGTCGCCAATTCCGGGTTTCACTCCAATTCCGAGTCACTCGTGTGTATTTTATGCCATATTGTTAATATTTAAGGTAGGATTCTTCTCATATTTATAATATTTAAAAATTAATGAAATTTTCACAGAATCAAGAAGACAATATCAGTAAGTGATAGTATCAGTGAAATTAAATTTGACCGTTTTATATTACAGGCAAGGTCAGGTCAAGGTCATTATCTTTTTCCTTAATATTAAGAATAAAAAATAACTGTTGCCAATCATGTGATACCTACTTCTATTTCAAAAGTTTAATGATTGTTCTTTTTTCATAAAAACATATTACTATATCGGGTCTATAGCATGATATTACCAAATTTACATAAATAATTTAACTTAAGTAGATTTTGGCTAATCCGAATTTTCTCTGTTTTTCCTAATTTTTTAGGATATATTAGTTATCTTCATATACTTCCTATATTTAACTTTTTCTTATTTTCACAAATAATAAAGTAGTCTTATAAATGTACAAAATGATACAAAAACAAAAAGTTTTGATCGTTTAATAAGAGAGAAAAAATACTTTTTATGGATTATTGGATCAAAATCTGCACTTTGATAGGAAGCGTTTAAAAGCTAACAAAGTTCTAGTTTGTTTGAAAAATCATATTTATTTGATATATTTTGAAAGTTTAGTCCCTCATTATTAATTTAACTTGCATTTGAAAATTTCTCGAAGTCTTCGATTGTGTAAAAATTATAACTAAATTCATTGTTCTATGATAATTTTGAGAGGCAGAAAAGAAGATATTTTCATACGCAACCATTCCGCCAAAAATATAGTCCTTGCTAGTTTTCAAACGCAGTTTACCATTTCTATTTAAAGTTGTACAATTGTGATGAGGAAAGAAAAATATGGTCTTTTAAATTCCTTACACCTCAATATATAAGACATTTAAGCAAATATACTTTGAATGTTTCATCTAGTCAGAAACCAGAGAAGAATCCTACCTTAAGTGCAGAAAATTTAATAGATACACAGGTCATGAAGAATATGGTCTTTCTGTCTGTGATTAATTACACAATTTTAAATATCAACTGTAAGAGAGCATCCGACAACTGAAATTCTAAAACGCATGCATTGATTGCCATTGAAGACGGGAATGTTTCTGCTTCGGTGACGAGCTACTTTCATTTTTGTTCGCTGCAGCAAGGCTGATATAAAAGTTGTAGATAAATAATAAGAGCTTGAAAGTGCGGTAAATGAATTTTTTTTATGTTTCAACATCATAAAAATCGTGTTCCAAAACGATCCATGAATATTAAAAGACTGCGAGGTCATATGACCCGGAAATGGAGAAAATGATTCGCAACTGGGGAAGATAGGCTTTGCAGAAATATCATCATAAATATTTTTCCCATGTAGCTACATACAATGATCTAAGTAGGGCAAGTATAAAAGTATAAATCCTATAGAGTAACCACCTGATAGAGTGAAGTTCCCAATTCCGGGTCACGTCAGGGCGTTTCGTTGATACTTTGCAAAGCTGTTCGATTTATAGTTTATGCAATATATGTATTGAAAGTACAAATAGTGAGTCATCCAAAAACATTTTTGTATTCAAAGTATTTGACTTTTATACTTGCCCTACTTAGATCATTGTATTCACTGTTTCACAGTATTTAGTAAGATAATCATAATAATCAATTCACGATTTATAAATTATATGTTTAGAATACAAAGCATTTCTTGGAATCAAATAAAAGATATACAATTTTAGTTGAAGTAAATGAGCTACCTGGTGGTTATAGGTGAATAGCAAAAGAAATATCTTTTTGTATTCCGGGATGCAGTGTTCAGAGAAAATTTGGATTATTTACACTTCAACTTGTCAGAGGACGAATTTAGTGAGCTAGAGTAAATTTCTTGAATATATCAGAGTTATTAAAATCACAGGGGCAGTCAAAAATTGTCTGTGATTGGTTTCATTAAAAACTGTAGTTTACTTGAGGAATTCGGAGAATTTACATGGTTAACCCATCACGAATAGGGTGCGTGGAAATGAAACGGATTTCACTCAATTTTCCTTTCTATAAGAAGAAAATATGCCATTTAATCGAATACTTGAGATAATGGCCAGATATGCATTAAAGAATAACGCTTCTCATTTGTCTTGTTCACGTGTACACGCCCAAAACAGGCACCTACCCGAATGGATGTCAACTCTACCAGTAACTTGATGAACACAAGAAGTGACGTCATACACACAAGCACTGCGCAGAGACGGAAGTCGATATCAAAGGGCAACAAATACACGTGGTATGAGCTGTCACCTTACCAGCTCTGGTATGTCGTTATTTAGAAGCTGACGCTGAATAAATATCAGGATGTCAAGTTCCACCGGAAAGAATGTCGATGTTGTCGTTATTGGCACAGGGATTTCAGGGCTTGTCACTGCCAAATGTCTGTTAGATGATGGATTTCAAGTGGCAGTTATAGAGAGATCGGGCGACATTGGTGGACTATGGACTTTCAGAGAAAATGACTATGGAGTTATGCGATTTACTCATATGTGAGATTGAATATAATTGTAACTGTATAGTTCAGAAATTTAGTCATATCTCAATCAAAGACTTTCTTTTTGTATATTTTTTTGTAATCTATAGCCCAGCAATGGCATTCTCAGTCATTATTAATTATGTATATGAAATAAAGTAAATTATGCTTTTAATCCTACTTTTGGACCAAACACCCAATTTCATAAAACTGGAATGTTAACTGAACAGTACATTTAAGCCTCACAAGTTGAGTAAAGTTTGAGGTACATGATAATTGGAAACATATTTTTTCTTCTTTTCAGCAATGTCTCAAAGTACAACTACTGTTTCTCAGACTTTCCCTTCCCTGATGATGTGCCAGATTACCCCCATAATACAGATATGGCAAAATACATTAAGGACTATGCTGCCCACTTTGATCTAGGAAAACATATCAAGTTCTTCACCAAAGTGACAAAATTAGAAAAGACAGGTAAACATTTTGAAGAGGACAAAATGAATACCGGGATATACACTGTATACACATTTCAAAATCAGCTTACAGTTGTGTCTCTCAAAATACAAGTAAACAAAATAATTTTTTGCATTTCATACTATTATTGTGGTTATGTATACATGTATGTAAGTATATGGTTTAAAAACAAGTGCTATTTGCTGTTTCATTTCCCAGCTGATGATAAATGGAGAGTGACTTGTCAGAAAGTGGAGGAAGATGGGCAGACAGTGAAGTCCCTGGACTCCAGTGAAGAAGTCATCACTGCCAGATATGTTGCCATAGCAACAGGACATCATGCCAGTCCAGTTATGCCAAAGTTCCAAGGTCAAGAGACTTTCCCAGGTAGTGTGAATTGTCTGTCAGAGTCAGAGAAGTATTGTTAAAAATGACTAAATTTTTCGTTTATTATCAAATGAATATTCCTCAAAATTCAGTCAATTGTGTCTAACTATCTTATGGGCTGTAAAAATATTTGTAATCTAAAAGCACATTCATGTAATAAGAATTTCAGCAATACACTTCCTAGATTAAGCTTTACTGCTTCGCTATAGGACATTGGTACATGTAAGTCAGCTGTTCTGACATAAGCACTCCTGCATTGTAGTCCATTATAGAGAGGATCAATGCACATTGCAAGATGTTAGACCATAATGAAATTCTATTCCAAAAACAACCCACATACAAACAGTATATTAATGCTAATAGCTTTCTAGCCATAAGAAAATGTCTACTCCGTATTACATGTCAAGAATTTCAGAGGAATTCAGGAACATTTATTAATATGTACTCATTTTTTTATTGAAGGAGAGATAATTCACAGTGTCAAGTTCAAGGATGCCCTCACTAATGGCGTGGTGGGTAAGAGGGTACTGGTTGTTGGCATTGGTAACAGTGCTGTGGATGTCGCTGTCAACTGTGCTTCTGTGGGAAGGTTAGTCTTATATAACAACTGGGCTTCTGTGGGCCGGTCAGTCTAATATAACAACTGGGCTTCTGTGGGCAGATAGTCTAATATAACAACTGGGCTTCTGTGGGCAGATAGTCTAATATAACAACTGGGCTTCTGTGGGCAGATAGTCTAATATAACAACTGGGCTTCTGTGGGCAGGTTAATTAGTCCTATTTAACAGCTGAAGCTTTTGTGGGCCAGTAAATCGGTCTAATATGAGGCTTTTGTGGGCAGGTTAGTCTAACTATTACAACTAAGCTTCTGTGAGCAGGTTATGTCTTTCTTTCACTTAATTACCTCTTCATTCATGTTGATTTATTCAAATTTATAAATTAAGCATTGATGTTCCTTACAGGTGTAAATCAGTGTATCTAAGTACAAGATCTGGAGCCTGGGTTGTTCCCAATTACTTGTTCGGCCACCCCACTGACCTTTACGCCAACAGAGCCTTTTTCTATATTCCCTGGCAAATAGCATCAACCATTTTTGAGACGATTTTGAAATTAGTCTCTGGAAATCCAAGAAGGTAAATGTATACACACTTTTAATATAGGGATTTTCAATCCCAGATTCCCAGCTACTAGTAGTTGTAAAGCATATTTTAAAATATGAATTTGAAGTATTGGGTATTTTCTTGGCTGGTTTCATTGAGTTTGAGATAACGAGAATTGACTGTAATAAATAAAATTTGTTAATTAAATGCCAGGTGGAATCTGAACCCTAAGATGAGACTTCTACAGACCCAGCCCACAGTGAGCCCCACCCTGATACACCACATCCAGCGCCACGACATCAGGGTGGCCCCCAATGTTCTGGTAGTTATACTTCTAATTTAAAAATCTATGACAGACCTACACACTGACAGATAAATGAGATTTAATGTTCCCTCGTTTTTGCCAAAGCGGGGACAAAAATCTATGACAATGGAAAACATTTACTATTCTTTTTATTATACTGAAGAACAAAATAAGGAAATATATACTCTGAACATGAATTATACTTGTTTTTTTTTCTTTTATTTTCTGTTTATCATGGTGATACTATAATAATTTTGTAATGCAGTCTGTATTTTTAAATATAAATATACAGTTTTAACATTTCTTTGGATTAATTCCTAGGACTGCAATAAAATCGGATTTTCAGGAGAGTATGTGCACAAAAACTATAATCAATCTGATATTATTATTATATATATGCATTAGTATATGCATGCTTTATTATTATTTCTGAAACTGTAATTAATTTTTGTTCATGTCCATTTTAACCTGTAGTAGGATTTTAAAAGTGCATGCTTTTTAGCAATATAGCTTTGTACATACTGTATGTATACAAGTTGTACAAGTTATTCTATATGAATTGTATGAATCGCTAATTAAGATGCACAATTCGTTTACAGTGTGGGGTTGTTACAGTTTTACTATTATTTCTAGTTAAATTAATTTTTTTTTATTTATTGAACTAATTTATTGTTGTTAAACATGTAAATGCATGAACTAATCCCCTTTTAGCTCACCTGAGCCGAAGGCTCAAGTGAGCTTTTCTGATCAAAATTTGTCCGTTGTCTGTCGTCGTTGTCGTTGTAAACTTTTCACATTTTCATCTTCTTCTCAAGAACCACTTGCCACAAAGTATCCTTGGGTGAAGGGGATTCAAGTTTGTTCAAATGAAGGGCCAAGCCCTCTTCCAAGGGGAGATAATTATGAATTAATGAAAAATTAATGGCATCTTTTAAAAATCTTCTTCTCCAGAACCATTGGGCAGGAAATATGAAACTCATGTGGAAGCATCCTCAGGTAGTGTAGATTCAAGTTTGTTCAAATCATGACCCCCGGGGGAAGGGCGGGGCCACAATGGCTGATCAAAGTTTTACATAGGAATATATCGGAAAAATCTTTTAAAAATCTTCTTCTCCAGAACCACTGAGCCAGGAAAGATGAAACTTATGTGGAAGCATCTTTAGGTAGTGTAGATTCAAGTTTGTTCAAATCATGTTCCCCTGGGGTAGGGTGGGGCCCAATTGCCGTTCATAGATTTACATAGAAATATATAGGGAAAATCTTTGAAAATCTTCTTCACAAGAATAAATAGGAAAAAAAATCATCAGTTCAAAAACAAAAACATTTATTGTATGAAAGCATCTTCAGTCAGGTAGTTGGTAGTTTAAAATTTCATTTCCATGATTTTTTGAAGCTTTAGAATGTATTTCAAGTGTCTCATATATTTTCAAACTTAAAAACATAGGTATAATCAAAGATTATGAAGCTCACCTCGACAAATGTTATCAGTTTAAATATATTTTCTTTATAGTTAGTATACATCCTTCATGTATTAATATGACAATATTCATGCAAGTTTTGTTTAAGAAGTCTCTTAGTCATTGGGAGTTGACCTGTTCCAAAATCACTAATCAAGAAAATGTCTTTTTTTTCCTAAACCCAAAGCAAGTCTGCATTTTTCAATACCTAGATGCATCATCCATGCAAGTTAAAATATAACAGGCCATAAAATTACAGACATACTCCAAAAACATGAGCCTGGTCACTCATCTGGAAAATGTAGGTCAAATCGAGCATCTGGAGCAAGTCTGGTAGTCTCCATCCCTAGATGCATCATCCAAGCAAGTTTGGTTCGGGTAGGGCTTATAGTTACTTTGGGAATAGATCTGCTCCAAAAACTTTAAGCTGGTTACACATCTGGAAAATGTACCGTAGGTCAGATCCAGCATCCAAAGCAAGTCTGGTATTGTCCATCCCTACATGCATCATCCATGAAAGTTTGGTCCATGTAGGGCTTATAACACACTGTAGTTCCTTAGGAATGGACCTGCTCTAAAAACTTTAACCTGGTATTTTTAAATTTAAGATCCAGCAACTGAAGCAAGTCTGGTATTGTCCATCCCTATGCATCATCATGAAAGTTTTATTAAATTATTATTATTGTATATAAAACTTAAATATCACTCATCTGGAAAATGTAAGCCAGATCCAGCATCTAGAGCAAGTCTGATAGTGTCCATCCCTAGATGAATCATCCATGCAAGTTTGGTCCAGATAGGGATAATAGTTACTTTGGAATGGACCTGCTCCAAAAATTTTAACATGGTCAATCATCTGGAAAATGTAGGTGAGATCCAGCATCCAAAGCAAATCTGGTATTGTCCATCCTTAGATGCATCATCCATACAAGTTTGGTTCAAGTTAGGCTTATAGTTTCTTGTGAATGGACCTGTTCCAAAAACTTTAACCTGGTCACTCATCTGGAAAATGTAGTCAGATCCAGCATCCAAAGCAAGTCTGGTAGTGTCCATCCCTACATGCATCATCCGTGAAAGTTTGGTCCAGGCAGGGCTTTTAGTTACTGCATGATTTTGTAAAGCTCCAAAAACTTGAACTTATCATACATTTTCATGCTAAAAATATATGCAGATCCAGCATCTGAACATTATTTTCTTAGAAAAATCTTCATGATAATGAAGTTTTTAAGATATTTAGGTTAAAATACACTCCAAAAACTTTAACCTTACATGAAAATGTAGGGACTTTCAGCATCTCACTTTGACATATCCACTGTATCATCCATATTTATGTTATAATATTTTATTACAGTTGTTGTACCCAAAATTTTTCTGGTCATTCTCTGGAAAATAGAAGATCCAGCATCCGAACAATCGTGTAGTGTCCACTGCTAGAATGCATCATCCATGCAAGTTTGGTACAGGATAGGGCTTAAATTACTTTGGAATGGATCTGCTCCTAAAACTTTAACTTGGATGCCAAAACACATGCCTAATCAAAGTAAGCTGTGAGCTGTATATGGATATATTTGTTGAAGGAATGATATTCAGTATAAAAAAATTGTTATCTTGAAAGATGTATATAGCAAGAAAAATTTAAGAGCCTACTGAAGTTTTTAACTTTTATGATGTTTCAGTTATATTAATACATGGTCGGGACATTAATCACTTTGAAATCAGCTTTTTAAAATTATTTATACATATGTTATACATATGTTATTACAGCCAGCACAGAAATTAATATATATCCTTAAAAAGAATTATAGAAAGAAAAGGTCACCTTGAAAAAATGGCCACTTCAGAATTGATGTTAATATTTAAAAATATATATATATATCCTTTTTTAGAAAACATGATGCTAAATATTTGTACTATAAACAAAAATCATCAAGGTATTTATACTTTTATTTCTGTATATAAATTTTAATGTTCAAAGAATTTATATGTTTATTGAATATATTGAAACAGTTATAATTATTTGAAAATTTTATATAGGATTATAAATGTATAATTATAATTAACTCTTTTACTTTCCAGTTGTACAAAAATGTCTTCCATCCAGAGATTGGCCATTCTCTGGCCTTTATTGGTTTTACACAGCCAGCTTCAGGGGGACTTCTTTCAATGTCCGAAATCCAGGCCAGGTGGTTCACGGAGCTATGTAGGGGGCGCTGTAGTCTACCCACAAAACTCACTATGAACGAAAACATAAAGGAAGAGGAGGTAAATATAAATACACACTAGGACATGGAATCAATGGTTATGTGTGTTCCCATAAAAATAATTTAAAGTTTTAAGTCAAAAACATTTCTAGGTGTGATTGTCATTAAAACTGTCATTCAGTGGCAGTTTATTATACGGGCATACACATACATGTATGAACAAAATAATCCATTGAATATAAAACAAATTATTTTCATGCACTCAGCTACATGTAGGTTATTGTAAACCAGTTTTTAGAACATGTTCATGGGTATTTGAAAAAAAAAATGTATATAATATTTTGTTATTGTACTTGTAGGAGACGGTGAAGTCCAGGTACTATCATTCCAACAGACACACGATACAGAGGGACCCCATACTGTACAATGATGAAATAGCCGCCATGTTTGGAGCCAAACCTGAGCTCCTGAAGAATCCATCTCTGGCATGGAGGTACCAGTACTCTTCTGATATGAAAGCCTGTTCTCACTGTAAAACAGTCCAATACATGCAACACTAATCTTTATACAATGATAAGTGCATTACACTGTAATTAAGAATTTTGGAATCTTTGATTTCAATGTGTTTTGGATAACAGACTGAGGGCATTTATAAATTTTTTTTGTTATGAAATGCTGTGAACTTGTTTCAAATTTTCTTTTATTTGAAAAATTTAAAAAGAAGTATTCACAGATTTTATTGCACAGTACACTATATAGGTAAAAGGTTTCTGAGCTCCTATTTTTATTCTCTAACCTGTTTCAGATTATTGCTTGGATCCTGCGGCACATACCAGTGGCGACTCCAGGGACCTAACTCTTGGAAAGGTGCCAAGGATGCAGTGCTGAAAGTCCCAGTCCCGGAAATGTGGCAGTATACAGGAGTTATTGTGCTGGTGTTATTGGGAATATGTCTGCTTTACATTCTGTCTTTCTTGTTCTAACTTTTGAACATACCGGTGAATTTATGACTGAATGTGTCTGCAGAGCCATTGCCAATGATACATTCCTTGTGAAAGACTGTGATAAACATGATGTGCAATATTTTTGTATTGAAAAGATCTTTATATTGGTTTAGTCAAAATAAATTAAATACTTGAATGATATATTTTATTGCAGTTGTTGTCTTTTCTTGATTATAACCCACTGGAAGGGGACATGGTCCTTCAAAAGCAAATTTAAATACTCTTTAGGCAAAACCCAGTTCTAGTGTGAACAAAGATGAGAATACACTATATACAGACTGAAGATGTCACAGGGTCTTAGATTTAAATTGCTAGATTCATGGTACCCCAGAGGATGACCTCTTGATCCCAGGTCCAAATTGTCAAAGATTTCCATACCTATAATGGTGAAAATCAAACCTATTCGTAGCTATTTCCGAAACTGCATTCATGTACATGTACATTGTAGAATATTCAGAAAGAAACACATGAAAATTGTTTAATTTAGAAAATAACTTCAAAATTAGCACTTATATACTATTTTCAGTTTATAGTATAACAGTGAGGATTTTTCACTGCTTATTAATGCTGTTAGAAAGTTTCCAGTAAATGCACTAAAATCAAGGACAGCATTATGTTTATATACTTCATTTAATAAACTTTAAAAAAAATGTTTGATTAATTAAAACTAAACATTAAATCTCATATTTTATCTGTTATTCATTATATCTATTCTCAGTTTATGAATGGTACCGAGACCTTATATAGAAAGAAAGCAGGATCATAGGATTTTGCATTTTATTTGTTTTCAACATCTTCATCGTTAACAAAAAATTGTCTCAGTGAGACCGTACAGTGAAATGATAAATGAAGCCACTGTGATCAATGCATTATTCCTTCTAAAGGCCCTGTATCACATTATACACCTACACAATGTTATTTGTTTTCAACATCTTCATCGTTAACAAAAAATTGTCTCAGTGAGACCGTACAGTGAAATGATAAATGAAGCCACTGTGATCAATGCATTATTCCTTCTAAAGGCCCTGTATCACATTATACACCTACACAATGTCTGACAGTGCAGACTTATTACAATTTTGAATGTATATAATTGACAATTAAAGACATTTTTAACTTCTGTTTCACTTTTCCATTGTTTTCCTGAATTTTTTCAAGTTTTGAAACTTATTAATTTCAATGGATGATAGGTACCATAAAAAAGTGAATTCACATGAATTCAAACAAACAAAAAAAACAAGCAAAAAAAATCTCATAAACAGTTTTTCCTTGCTTTGACAAATTATTTTCCATGTACAAATTCAGAATAAATTACTGATAGTAACTTGTAAAATATTTACTGCTACTCTTTACAAATTTCTTCACTCTTTTGACTGACAAATCACTAACACTAGCAAGTCATGAATCATGAAATGTAAAATGTTGGCTAGAAGTTTCACTGTCCCCCTGAGTAGAATTTACATCAAGATTGAAGACCATTTACTCTATTTACAGTATTACAAACATTCACTTTGATGTTCTGGAGAACTCCCTTTGCAGGTTTTTTCTTCTTTGGATTTCATTAAGAATAAACATTCACATACAAGTACATTATGTACATGCATTGCATACATATGTAATAATATAAAAAGAACAAATGGAAAGAAAAACTTATATAATCACATCCATATTATTCACTCATCAAACGTTTTCATTTCTTTTTTTCGTATACATTTCTTTAAAAATAAATTCATCTGAAAACATAAATATTTAATAGATGTACATGTATATATAAAATAATTTTCATTTATTTGATTGAGATTTTCTTCTAAAATGATTTAGCACTATAACTCAGACCCATATAAATATTACAGAAATTTCTCCATTGAATAGAAAGTACATGTACATGTATTCAAAAACATGTCATTTTTTGGGTTTAAACTTGCATTAAATCTTTAAATTTGCTTTGCAGAGTTCAATAACTAAAGCAATATATTATTTTACACTGTCACACTTGCTGTCTTTGTATGATAAAAATACTCTTACCTACAGCCAACATATTAAATCACAAATTTTCTTTATCATACACAGGCATTCATACACCAGACATTTTACCACTTCTAGACACATTAACCCAATCAGCAACATGCACCACACAACATTAACATTAAGATCACAGATAATATTTTTTTCTTACATGATACAATATTTTCCCTCGAAGATAAAAAAATTCATTCATGGTGTAAAGGCAGGTGCTGAGACTGACTTATTTGCCATACGTGAGATCCAACATTATCCTCAACAAAATGATAGCACCCTCACATACACATTAACACATGTACACACATGTAACTTGATATCAATAAATACAATGTATTTTTTTTAGTAAATTGTCTAGTTTTCCTAATATGAGGCACCTCGTTAATTAAAGTTGAATTTAAATTTAAATCCGCCCCCTCCGAATGGGTTAAAGCCCTCGTGCCAGAATGGACCCCCTCCTCCCTGTTGTTGCTGCTCAGGGTCTAATGGATCCTCACCATTATCAAATTTCTGTCTCTTTTCTGAAATGATAGCATAATATTATACAATGACAACATAATATTAGATATGACAGCATAATATTAGACAATGACAGCATAATAGTAGACAATGACAGCATAATAGTGGACAATGACAGCATAATAGTAGACAATGACAGCATAATAGTAGACAATGACAGCATAATAGTAGACAATGACAGCATTATAATAGATAAGATAGCATAACAAGAGATGTTTGTAAAACACTAATGCCCCCCTTCCCCCCAAATTGGAATTTTTCCAAGTCCAAAAGGGCATAGCTCTGTCAAAAATGGTGCGATCGTATCCAAAACAGAACTTGACCTAGATATTTATCTGATAAATCTGTATACTAAATTTCATTTCAGTATAAGCAACCTCTGTGAAGAAAATGAACGGAAACTGTAAATAATTGGAATGTTTCTAAGTCCAAGGGGCATAATTCTGTCAAGAAAAGCACAATCATATCCAAACCAGAACTTGATCTACATATTCATCTGATATATCTGTATACCAAATTTCATTTCAGTATGTGCAACTGTTGTGAAGAAAATGGACGTAAACTAAGTGGACCGACAGACAGCAGCAAAGCAATATGGAATTTTTCTTCGAAGGGGGGCATAATAATAGACAATGATAGCATGAAACATGTAGTACACACAAACTCACAGACACCTTAATAACAAATTTATACCGAGCTTTTAAACATTAGTTAATACTATTAAGAGATGATTTTCTTCATTAAAAAAAAAATATATATATCTTTTGAACAACATTCAAGTTCATTCAAAGATTATTATCCATTGTACATATATACATGAATATACATGCACATGTACACATGAGAGATTTTCCTTCATATGAAAACTGATACTCTGAATATAGCCAAACCTTTATCTGTAAGAACTTCTTTGGCAGCAGCGATGTCTATAAATTTCTTCTCGGCCATGGGTTTATTGTCTCCTTCATATTTATCAGGATGCCATTTAGCTGCCAGTTTTCTGTAGGCTTTTAAGATTTCTTTTTTCCTTGCAGTTCTAAAAAGAAAACGCACAACTTGATTATACTTTAATGAAAATGTAACAGAAACTCCATGTTAGCTATGTTTGGGTAAAAGTTACTTCCCTTTACATGCTACCAGAATGCATTAGAAGCAAAGTTGAACATATTTGAAAAAAATTGATTGTTTCTAATGAATGCAAAGGATATCAAACCTTTTAACTCCTAAAATTTTGTAATAGTCTCTCTTCTTTGATTGTTTTAACAGTTTCTGTGCACGGTTCAATCCATCCTGAGCCCTGCGGTTATGTTCGTCTATATTGGTTGCTTTTTGGAAATCATTAATTGCTGAAATAAAAAGTTTACATGATTACCAAACAAACATATAAGACATAAAATTCTCCAGTCTCCACTTCCCATGATTTTTATCATAAACATATTTTTTGGCAGTTCATAATTGCTCTTGTGCAGAGTTGAAGTTTTTCATCTCAAAAATAAAGTTATGTCCACAGCTCTCTCCAAACAAAAATAAAAAGATATACACACATGAATTCAAAGTGAACATCTACTAACTAACAAGTGTATATAATAAAAGTTTATATAACTACCGGGTATATCATTCTAATCATTAGCTAAGCTGTTGCTGTACCTTCGTCCCATTTTTCACTGGCTAAATACATATATATCTTCTCTGCTCAATAATCTGTTACAATGCATCAAAGCGTCCTGAAGATTGCCTCCCTACAACGATTCAAGTGTATATTCATATTAAGATACTGATTTCAATATGTTTCTGAAAATAAAACATATTGGGAATATAGAAAGTAACAAAATAGTAAAACATTTGGAATTTAGAATATATGGTTATAATGAAATTTTAAATTTACAATTTGAAATTAAATACATGAAAGTGCACATTGTGTTAAAAGTTTACACATCCTTCTCTATAAAAATGAGAGATTTTTCTTCGTATAAAAAATTTATTTACCAATTCATTTCCCTAGGAAATATGATACAGAAAACAAAAAAATATTTCAAATATGAATATCAAAGACATTTTTTTCCGTTCTGGGTGGACCTGCCAAAATTTACCTTTCCATAACAATGACAGAGATATGATTGTCCCTTGAGCTGGTAGTCTACGTTGGGTCCCCTTCATGAACTGCTTTGCTTTGTTCAGACACTCATCATACTGGCCGGCGACCTTGGCCTCCTGAGCTGCGTTCAGTTGTTTGACGAGTTTCTTGACCTTTTTATAGTGGGGTTGGCACTGCTTGTCATCTGGGTCTAGCTTCAAACACTCTCTGATTTGACTGTGAGGGAAGAGAGGGAATATGAAGGATTAATTTATAGCCAAGATGTATGTTTTTACAAATCTCTGGAAAAGAATTCATACACATCTATGCTAAACATTTATGCACCAAAGAAATCTACCTTCAAGATATTTACAGTAAAATCAAAATCTATAAAATTTTTGTGGTTTGAAGGCCTATTTGGATTTAATTTTGCAGTTGTCGAGTGTAGGACTTGTAGTTTGAAATTTTAATGTTTTATAAAGGACATGAATTTATAAGTCTCTTCCTATCATGAAAACATTGAAAATTAACC